CGCGCTGTGGTCGCTGTCTGTCCCCGCGGGGGACGGAGCGGGACGGAGCGGGACACCTCCTCTCGGCATATTGGCACATTTATTGGTGATAACGATACCCGATGAGAAACGCAGACATAAATACACACCTCGGTGATGATCATCACCTGTAGTTACCTAGTTATAGTTACCTTGACTAGGTGCATGAAAACACGTGATCCATTCAACTCTTATGAATAGATAGATACTTTATTGATCCCTCAAGAGGGACATTTTGGTATCACAGCAGCATGTACAGGGAAAAAAATAGAATAAAAATATACACATTATATACAATATAATAAGATAGAAATAATAAATTATTATATTAAATTAAATTAAACTAAACTAAAACTGAAACTTATGTCAATAATAATAATTTGTAAAAGGAGAAGAGGAAGAGCCGCCACATCACAGCAGTACTGGGTTATTATTGTCATTATTTAGCCAGGGATGATTTATTGTAAAGTGTTAATACGCATAACAAACCATGCTTTCCATATTTAATGGAGTGTTTGTATTTGATGGTTTATTTTTCTTTCCCATTATTGTTCTCGATATGAATACCACGTGTTGTATGTAGATCGCTGTTGCAGCTATGCTCATTTTACAATATTCAAAGCACTGATGGCAGCAAGCAAACTATTTGCTATGTAAACATATAACGTGGCAACGTCCGGCTGAGCAGATACGTCACTTTGCAGAATTACAATTAAACCCACTTGTGATTCTTGTTACATCCAATTTGATGTTTTCTTATTGGCTCACAACTTTTACGCGTAATTTTAAGTCCAATGCTTTTGAACTCTATTCATTCAAGGGTGTTTTGTTATTTCATTTGACTTGAAGAGTATCGAATAATAGAATATTGTTATTATATCCTTTGAGAGTCGCACAAGGCTTTGACTTGGCTTTGGCTTGTTTTCAATACCAGTATCAACAATATTTTTGCATTGGAAATACATCCACCATTGTTGTGTGAGCAAAAAACGCTGATGCATCCTGGAAGCGCAGCTTCAAAAGTGCTCATTTGATTAATGGAAAATGAGATCCGGTTTGTGTGACAGCACTTTGAGCGTGTGGCCGGAAGATGCAAAGGAGATTCGGCAGGAAGAAGAATGTTAGTGGCAACACGAGAGACGGACTGAGCTCCGTTTGAGAAGACAAAACACCAGCAGCCCACAACAACGTGTGACACGTGAGGTTATGCGTTTATAAATGTGACTTTCTAATCAGCGGCTTCAGACTTCAGTGCTAATTTAGGTTATTAAAGTCACAAACCACAGACGTTTATTTGCCTTACATTCACATTCCCTCGAGCACGACGAGGACTCTTTCCTATTAACCTTCAACGCTGCCTTTGCCGACAGCCAACAGTCGGCCCCCGGCTGCAGCCCCGGGGCCCCTTCCATCCATCCCTCCGTTAGCTCTGCATCGTATCACCACTGTCGCACGGGCTGGTTATTTTGGGCAATCTCTCTGACACCACTGATTCCACCTGCTGGACCTGTCCGTCTCCTCGCTGACACGCACGAACGTAGAGCTCCGGCGTTATTTCTAATTAACTGCATTCATAATCCCCCCCCCCCAGGGGTGATGGACCTTGAGCCGCTTGTTGAGTAGAACTCACTCCTTGAGTGTGTGTGTGTGTGTGTGTGTTGTTGTTGAGCTGGATGTTGTAGTACTTTTCAAATCTGAACAACAATGAAGGTTAGAAGCGGTTTTATGTGAACAGAGACGTGACGGCAGGAACAAACAGTTTGTTGTCAGGCCTTTCGTTTGCGTAACAGAGTCCCATCTGGTTGCGTTTACCTCTCGATTAAAGGGCCAAACTCCACTTAGTGCTGCTGCTGTTCGCTGAGTCGTTGTGTTATTCGTCTTCAGGGCACTTCAGTGGCAATTTCAGCAATTAATCATTTCAGAATGGAGCTTTCATTTCCATTACAATCCAATGTTGAAATGAGCAGATCCTTTCTTACATCAGGGTGTTAAATTGTTGCCGTTTTGTCAAAGCACGTTTAGTCGATTTTGTACAAGTCAACAGAAGGAGTTAAAGTCGTGCATTCAAAATCCTATTTAAGCAATAATGCACAAGGGCTGTCAGCTAAATGGAATTAAAGTCATTGAACGGAATGAGAAAATCCAAACTGTTGACTGGTGCTATAAACACACTCATTCTGCAGATGAATGGTTTTGGCATCAAATTGTTGGTACTGATGCATCAAAAGCCCTGTTTTAAGGCTGTAGCCGTCGAGGTGGGGGGCCAATGATAACTACTGTAGTCTGACCTGCTTTGCATTTATTATATTATATCTTCTGTTATGTCCGATCTCCATGTGAAATGTTGTAGCCGTAACATTAACGACTGTAATGTAAAAAGGCAGAATAGAGTGGAAATAGCCTCCACCACAACCTAAAAGCCCCCCTTCCCCCTTCCGGGTCGCCCTCAAGCACACAACGGTAAGTCTGTCGGCCACACTGATGTTTTGTGTTCTAAATTCAGCTAATATTTGCATTGGTCGGGGGGGTCACATTTTGGTTCAGTCATTCAGATCCAGCTTCCTCACGCGGCATAAAACTCCCGGACACCTGCCCAGCGCGAGACGGATGTCTCCCTTGTCCCCTCAGATGTCAACGCAGCGACCAAACTGGGTCCGATGGGACAAACATGAAAGCGGGACAGCTGCTGGTGCGTCCCCGGCGATCCCACGACCTCGGCCCAGAGCCCATTAGCACCTCCTGGATGTTTCTGCACGGATGTTTCTGCAGGAATCCCAACCATCAGACCCTGCGTCAGCGAGGGGGGGGGGGAAGGCGGGAACAGAGGTTGCAGTAGTAGCTCTTTAGCGTGTGATTAGTTTTACGAATAACGAGAGGCAGAAGGTAATAAAAATGGTTTCCAGCGATACGAAATAGCAAAGACATTTTGTCCCTGAGACGCTGTCTCTAAAACATGTTGTTGAAGAGTTACTGTTGTCTTAGGTGAGATATCTAAAAATAATCTTTGAAATGTTCTGGCATCTAGCTACAGAACAATGTTTTAGACCCTAAAAGTTTCCACTGGACGGACAATACTCATTTCTTTTAGATAGCGAAACATCTGTAATACCTTTTTTGTATCTTGGTTCTAAGAGTGACGTCACCTTAATGTCTTTAGCTTCTAAATTCTTCTCTTTAGACATTTTCTGTATTATTTCTTTAGATTTATCTCATAATGAATATAGGTCTTATCCTATAGGTCCCACGTCATTGCTCACTGGCACTGATTCACATCCGTGTACAATAATAATTCCACTACTGCAGAAATACAAACATTTAATGTTGTTGAGAGGTTGAAATTCTTGCATGTGTTTCGTATTATGGGATTTATGGTCAAGGGACTAGATCTCGAATACGCAGCAGAGCACAAAACAATATGTTTCATGAACAAAGAGGCCAGTATGTTTAAAAGAAATGTGAAGGCACAGAATCAAAAAGAGAATCTGTCGCTACTCTCACTGGGATTCATTTTGACCATTTATTCCTTTCTAAATTACATATTGAATGTAAAATAATTACTGTGACTGGCATCCTTGTGGATTATTAGACACACGATATCAACCAGAATCGTGCTGGAAAAAAAAGAGCTTGGAGTTTCTCCCGGTTGCTTTTGTGAATGTTTTTTTTTATTTTATTTTTTTAACCAGCAACCAATCACAGTTCCAGAAACCACATTCGAAGACAGTCACTGCACGCAATCTCCAAAATTTTGGTCTAATTAACTCAAAACAGCATGCGGCTCAGTTCATACTCCCTTTGTCTCAAGAGCTACCGTAGCCGCTTTTTGTTCTGGGCCAGAACGTCCATAAGGAGAAGGACCTGCCCGCGCTCCTTTCTCCGGCCATCGCTGTCAGCAACGGATCCTCTTTCAACTAAATTTGGTTCTTAAGCCCCAACTTAGTCGGTGCCAGCGGCCGAGACCCAAATAGACGAACTCGTGTGACGCGGCACAGCAGCCTCATAAAGGAGCAGCTCTTCCTGCGCACGTTGCCCCGCGCGGCAGCTGGGTCAGTTGGAGTTACAGTGCGACCTGCGCCAAGTGGAGGCTTCTTGGTTGGAGGGTGGGGGGGGGGTCACGGTTTCCATGTATGAGGTTTTAATGAGACAGTACCCGGGTGGGGGGGTCGTGCTCAGAGTGTCGGCCAAACGGCCTTTTACGTGACTGGTGTCGACTGCCGAGCGGCGATGGAGCGCGTGCGTTCGGGGGGGGGGGGGGGCGTTTCCCTCTAATGCGGTTAGATTTACGACGGCTTTGTCTGTGACCCGTCTTCGGAGAAAGGGACAGCAGGTGGTTAGGACGGACAAAGAGCCGGCGACGCCTAATAAACGACGAGAGAGTCAACGCGGGGTGTCCTTGGGCCACGCGGCGCCTCCTGTGGCATCTCCGTAAATACTGGAGAACTGGATCCAGTTTGTCGATTGCCCCTCTGCTATTTTACAGCTTCTCGAGTTTGATATTCCATCAGCGCGTCGGTGCAGAGAGCCGGGCTGTCTGGGCTCAAGGTGCTTATTACGCTCGAGGTGTGCTAGGTGACTATGGCAACACGTTGGCGAGTCTGACGGCGCTTTGCCACAGAGATACTGCAAAGCAGATGTTGTGGTGGGTCTCGGGGGGCCCCCGCAGAGAGCTGACAATTTCCAACCAGTCAGTGCTGACAAAAGACCTTTAGGAGACATCCCACCTCGCGAATTCCAGACTATCTAAGCTCAGATACGGGTGAAGTAACAATGGTGATGGTAATCGTCCCTCCACACGTATTTGTTTGTGTGCGTGAAATGCACACGGGACAAAAACACCTGGGCTTCCATCTCAGCTCTGTTTTCTTAAACCCAAAGGAGCTTGATGGCCACAGGATGGGCTTTGTTGTGGAGAGCAGCTGAGGCTGACACCTTCCCCCCCCCCCGGCTCGGTCTCCTCTGACGCTGCAGTCAACAGAGCTTTTCCTACCGCCGCGCTCGTGCATTTGGTTTCTTTTACGGGGGGGGGGGGAGCGCTTGCGTGCCCGTATCTTCCACCTGGGAGTCTTCCGTGGACGAAATCAGCGCCTGTGCGAATGCAGCCGACCTTTGGGGCCCCGTCTTTCTGAGCCGCCACTCTTCATGACGGCCTGTTGTCGGTTTCGCTTACGGTTAGCGTTCCGATGGAACATAATCTGGGGACAGAGAAAGAGGCTGCAGATTCCATCATAAAACGTGCATATGGCAGCCTGACACCTTACTGACTTACTTAACCTTTTTTTAACCTTGTGGTACATTTGATGAACTTCTGCTGCAAACACTCACGCATATGACGAAATCTTGGGGAGCGGCTTATGGAATGATGAGGATAAAATACAGAGCAAATAAGCATAGGCGAAGAGTGTGTTTGCTCATTTACTCATTTACAAGTGTGAAGCAATGTGTTGATCCTCTCCCGCTGGTATTTATTGGAGGCTCTTTTTTTTAATCAAAGGTCACCTCCTTAGCTGTAACTCAATCATAGCAATGAATGAATGGATGGCATATTTGATGTCCTAGAGGTATGGGACCCGGGCCGGGATGCCAGACCCTTGGGCTGGTGTTTGCAAATGAGTGCCGTTGTTAGGAAACATAGACATGAAGAACTGCTTACTTCAACCACCAGCCTCCATATGTGACCAGACCAACATGCCAAACTGCGAGGACTGAATTACTGCTAAGAAAAGTATTATTTTTACTTGAAAACCTGTCCTAAAAGTAAAAATGATCATTAACGGCATTTATGGGTGAGACTGTTTTTGTTTTTTTCTAGGAGCAAGACTTAATAAGTTCTTCGATACCTTGAGTTTTTGTTTAATTTATTAACTAAACATTAGTAATCTAATTAAAAGCTGAAGAACTCACCCTCTCTGTTCTGTTTTGAGAAATAACACTCGCAAGGTTTGGTTCACTAAGTGAAGGCAGATGCCCACTGCAGGGATTCACATGGACTCGCACTACTAGTGGAAGGAACACAAGCATAAACACTCCTACAAATAAAAACAATACAATTCACATAATTGGATACACGCTAAAATAAATCTGCGTCATTTAACTGACTCTAAAAAAAGGCCTTCAGGAAATGGTGAGCAACCGAGGAATGCTTCTGCAGGACCACAGTGACTCATTTTGGGTGAAAAGAAAGAACACTCTGCCCTACAACTTCCGTTGGGACAGAACGGCGTCTGATGGGATGGCAAAGAGAGAACAGAACACGTCAAACATTCAATCATTTGCAGCCTGAGTCCGTTCAGCTCGCGGCAGAAATGCAGGAATGCGGCAATGAGGGTGCCGAACTGAGAGGCCTTCAGAGCCTCCAGTCGCTGACCACGGGGGCCCGATGTTTCCCCCGTCGACACGAAATGGACCAAAGACGGCCAGACTGAACGTTCACTCGGCCACGAGTGGGTCGTCTTGCTTTTGTCGCGCGAGTAGCAGCTGATAGAAGTCAGTGTTTATCGAATCTAAAAAAAAAGTGTCCCCTTCCAACAAAGACCCTGCCGGCTGAGTTTGGACGTAGTGGGCGGGGCTAAATGAGCCATGCGTTTCTATTGGTGGGTTCTACGTGGCTCTTGGCACACTAACGGGAGGTTGCAGCGATGAGTGACGTGTGACATGCAGGTACGTTTTTCATTAAATTGCTCTGTTTTGTCAGTTATTTGCACTTTGTTTGCACGTTGTTTGTGTTGTGGAGTTTCCTTTTTTTAGAGCAGGACCTGCAGGGCCGCTGTGTTGACATGAAGCCTCGGTTTAGCGTGCAACAAAGTTCTCTCTCTGCAGGGATGCATCAAACGCATTTAGACTGTTTCCACTCATTACTGGTCCTCGGTGTTGCTGTTCCGTTTACTTTGGCTCCATGAACGTTGCGTGTGGGACGGACTGACCTGAAGATACGAGTGGGGTTTGTTTCGGCAGACCTTAGCAGCCATTACATGAACCAAAGCACAGCGGAATGAACAGGAAGGCACCGCGTGTTCCACCTCAACCATTCCAAGCCCGTCTCTGTCTTTTGATGACGCCGCGGATCAACTCTCCCGCCGAACTAAAGCTTTTTTTTTTTCATAAAAGGCGCGTCTACGGTAGCGGGCGGAGGAGCGGAACACTTCGCCTTTGCAGCCAGTATGAAGATTGAAACCAGCGACCAGCTGTTCACAAGCCCACTTCGCGAGCTCAAAGAGGCCCTAATGGGATGTTGAGCGACATGCCAGAGCACAAGCTGCCGCTGCCACCAGCGGCACTTTCCAGCGGATTGAATATCGTCGACTGACAGAATGACAGATGCACTTTATTTCACCTAAAAAAGCCTTTAATGTAAATATGTACTTGTTTCTTAGAGTAATTGTTGCCCTCATGTGACCTTTTGTTGGCTGCCGGTTACAAACAAGGCACTGGCTGCGGCTCGTGGTTACCGGACGTCACACAGAAGATCTGCAGTGTGCACACGAGTGCACAACGAGTGCGTCGAACTGAATGTCCTGTGATCCTGAGGAGCCCAGAGATATACGGCATTCATCATGCAACCAAAACGGCTTTGGCGACAGTTAAAAGGGACGAAACCGTTGACTTGTTTCGAAAACATCATCTGTGGGGATTTTCTGACGCTCTTGTGCGTGTTATCAAAAGAGGACGAGCCGACTTGTAATTGTTTTTCAGTGTGCTTGACCCCGGGGGAGAAGCACTAACGTATGAGGCGTAATGTCTGTGGGGAAATCAGCACATGTCACACACACACAAACACACACAACGTATTTTGCATCGTGTCGTCTGTCAAGTCTTTGTTAAGTCGGTAATAAATAAGCCCGATGGGGATCAATGCTTTAACACCAATTAATACTTTTGTGTCGGCTTATTATTCTTGAGGACAAACATTAAATCCAAAGTTGTATCGCTTAATAAACCATTTCATGTGCAGACCTTTGTAATTATATTAACAAATGCCAGCGGATCAAATGACATTTGTCATGTTTGAAATGGAAATTGATTTGTTTCCAGTCTTCACACGTTCACACCTCTCAGGATCATGGCAGCGGTGGCAAGTCCTTCACTCATTAAGTCCTTCACTCAATAAGTCCTTCACTCAATAAGCCGCATACGTGAAGCTCTTTTTGAACGAGGGGAGGCAGAGATTCTGAGGAGGAGGAGGAGGAGGAGGAGGAGGCGCTCGCATCCCATGTGATGTGCCAGAATCCCATGTGGGTTTGATTCCCTCTCACACTGTTACTTTGTGGTAGTAATTGTTTCCCAGAGAACTGAAGCCTTCACTGAAAGTACACACAAATGGTCGTGGAAAAGGAGCCTTAATCTGCATCAGATGGAGTGTAATTACAAAACATTCAGTCAACGCACTTATTCCTTGGCTGAAATATATTCTTTTGAAACTAATTAACACCTAATTTGGTTTTTAACTTATTCATTAAATCATCAGCGTGCGGAAAGCTTTTTTTGTACATTTCTTGAATGGCAAACTTGGATGTTTAAATGTTACTCGCCTCGTGGTTTGCTTGGTTTCAACCTCGAGGAAATGGAAAATAGCGACATTGGAAATCTATCATTTCGATGCGAACTGAAAGAGTAGGAAGTTTTTTAGTTTTTTTGATTGTTTTCACATGTTGGTTTGGACAGAGGCCTTTGTGTACAATGCCCTCAATAGCTTTGTGAAGGCTGCCGAGGTCAGTTTGTTCCACGCGAGTCAGCTAACTGAGATAATAACTCATGACCTCATTCAACCACTGTAATGACAACTTACTTTTGACCTTAATGGAAAATGTTTGAAGGAAGGATGTAAATTGTTAAACTTTAGTAGTTTCACATTTTCCTACTTTGTCACTGGATTGACCTTTAGCCGCCTCCGCTTCGTAGCTTCCCAAGTGCTTCGCACCGTGTTCATTTGCAGTCTGGTGCTGTGGTCGTGACCGTCGGCTCATTGTGCTGCTCTTTACCCGGAGGGGTTGGAAGGACGCGTAACACGTCTGAAACGTCACGTTCATAGATTAAACCCGGTTGAGCTAACATTAGCCGGGTGCGCTAGCTAGCGTTAGCACTTCCATTCTGCACAATCCTCCGCTGAAGCGCATGAGTTCGAGCTATAGTTTTGTCGGCGGGTCGGTGTGTTACAGGAGGAAGGCGGAGGGTCAAAGTGGAATCGTGCTGTGAATTTATTCTTCCGCTATTACTTTGGTGAAGGAAATATAAAAAAAATGTCGCCTCCACTTCCGAAAAGAAACCGCTCCACCAGGACAAATCAAGCCTTCAACGCTAATTAATTTTAGCTTCTGGTCTTGATCCTCGTAGCTACAGCATGACATTTATTACATTCAGCAACAGGACACATCAGGCCGGTGGTAAAATGCTTTCTTTTTTTTTGTTTTCTATTTTTTTGTGTGGCAAAAACAGAGTGATCTCATTTTAAACCCATTCCAAGTGGTGCCAGGGGAAAATGCTTTGGTCTGAATAGACCCACTGTTCTGCTCCGTCCTGCTAGACGCCTACAACGCTCAGGGATGCTGGATCCAGACCTACTTTTGTGGCTTTTGGTTCTCGTCCTAGATTCAGTTAAGCTGCATTTCCCCCTTTTCTCCTCAGTGCGACCGGTGCTGCAGAAACATGCACAGTCTGAATATGCACTCACTTTATTTTACACACAACGCAAAGATCATCCACGTTTTGTCCCACTGGTCCCGTGACCCGTGTCACTCACGTTGACCCATGCAACATCTTTGAGCTCACTAACACATTTTACACAACGGGGCACAGCGAGACAGAGCAAGCAGCTTTGTCAGCGTTGCACCCAAGGCTGTAGGGATCCTATGGTGCTCGGGAATAGCAGCGGCGATATACTGCACCTCTGGGAACTCGCAGAGGCACTCCGGAATTGTTCCTCTGATAATCAGGCTAAAGGATGGAATCATACCAGGTTCATTGGAAGGGGCACAGATGGTCTTAAATCGTCTCTCCGTTGTTTTTTGCTCTGATCTCAAAGCAACACATAAGTTACATAAGTTCGCCGTTGCTTAAGTGAAGCACGTGTGCAGTAATTCTATGCCAAAAGGACATCTCTGCTTTTTATTATTTGATGTGCTCCCATTTGGCCAAGAGGATCGGAGTCATGCAACATTACTGCTAGCCGTGCGAAAGTCTGTCGCAGGGGAAATTCAAAAGATCCGGTTTAGTTAACAAGACGATTCTGGTCTTCGCCCAGTCTGTGTCTCCCTCGGCCCCATGAAGCCCAAGACTTTGCACAAGTTGGACTTCTTCTCTGCAACCAGTAGTCTTTGGGAAATGTTTTATCATCGTGGTGTGCGAAGCGGCTTTGGCTTGGTTTGTTCTCAGGGAGCGTTGAAGGAAGAGGAATAAAACAAACAGATGCAACGGCTTGATAATTCATTTTGAACAGGGGATTGATAAACATCTGGACTGCTTTGTGAGAACAGGGTGTCAAATGAATCGCCCTGACTTTGACGTACGATGCCACGCGACTGTGTCCGTAATCCTTAATATCTGCACATATCTCCTGTAGGTCCCCAAAGCAAGGAAAAGCTGGGGGCAGGAGCTATGATCAGCTATGATCAGCTTTGTGCATTGCTTTTGAATTGTTGTTTTTTTAAAGACAATGAGATACACATGGGAACACACTGTGCTCCTCATTGTGTTCCACTGCAATGTGCAATACGCACATTAAAATGTTTCCAAAAAAACACGTTGCTTCTCTCACTTTTTGGAAGCACCAAACACAAGCTTCTCTTGAAGCAAATACTCGTGTCTTAATTGATTTACAGGGCTTCATAATAAAATGCACTGTGTGTGCATACGCACACGCCCGTCTTGGCGTGTTGTTTTTGGAGTTATGCAAGTTCCCAAATGAAAGTCCAAAACCGTTTTAAAGTACCTTTGCCAACCCCACAGCTGTGTTGATGCCAACCCTGGGCAACTATGTCCTTGTGTGGCAATATCAGCAGGGGCGGTTAAAACCCTCCAGGACTCATAAACCAAGCCCTTAGGAGCTACTGGAAGTAATTAGGCCCATGCAACCCTAACGCCACTTCACCGCGCACAAAGAACAGCGCGTGGCGGCTTGAACATTGCGGGGCAGTGGAGCCGGTGTGGCGCAGACTCGGGGGTCAGCTGCCGCGCCGCTGAACAAACAACACAATGAGAATCTGAGGGCAGCGGGAGCGGACGGGTGACTGCGGGTCACAAACCTGCCCCGCGGGAGGGGGGGGGGAGAACTCCTGGAGCTTCTGGTGAAAATGAAGCCTCCTCTTGAAAATGAACAGGCGAAGCTGGTGGGAACTCCCCCCACACTCGCTGGGGGGACTTTTGGTCTTCTCGCGGTCTTTTAGACCGCACAGCACTCCACCGGCCGTCAAAAGGTTTGCCTGAAAATTTGAAAATGTGTGTGTGCGTTTGTGTGTCTAGTGGTGTGTGTGTGGTTTGTGTGATGAGGATGAATCCTGCTGACTACAGAGAAATCTCGACGGGAGCTTCATATTTGTGGTTTCGATTTAATCTACTTTACACAACCAAATGACACGAATCAACTATTGTAGTGAAAAGTCTCAACCGCGTCTCAGTAAATTTCCTTGAAATTGTTCATGTCCTTGTGAGGTTTGGTGACCTTCTGACCTTTTAAGCTGCATCATCATCATGGGATCAAAAATAACAATTGTACAATATTTTGGTTTAAGGCCAAACTCCAATTATCTGCACTTTTTGTTATAGTTAATGATCAAATGTAAGCTAACAGGCACAACTCACTGCTAACATTACTGTAGACGAGCAGTATAATTACTGTAGATTGTTGTTTTTAATTTCCACACTGAACTAAAGTGAGGAGGAAATGCAACTGTGATAATAAAGGACACAATGGAGGCAACATTGCAGCCTGTGGTGCGTGTGATTTAAGCTCGTCACTCGCTTGAGTGAGCGAGAGGACTCCTCCTCTTCCGCTTGAGATGCATTTTCTTTATTGATCTAAAACGTATCTACGATCAGACTTATTGAACCACAGAGGGGAAATTACAGATTTAAAAGAATAAACGTGACACAAAACTGAACTTGGTGACATCGGTTTGATGAGTTGAGGTCAGTACATGGAAGCAGCGTAAACGAGACCAATTTACAATACGACGAGTAATGATATTAAATGTGTGTTTGCATGTGATGTAATACAACTATGTAAAACAACTTGTTATTAACATAATGTATAATGGGATGTATGATACGGTTTAACAAGCCGGTTCCTGATTGGTCCCTCTGAGAGACGCCTCGACGCACAATCAATCATTTGGGTTTATCAGCAAAGAGACAGAAGCTCACTCAGGAGCCTGACAGCCCCCCCCACTCCCCCCCTCCACCCGGGACTGAAACTGATAAAAAGGGGATGTCACATTCATTTGCAAAAAGGGGACTTTCCTCTCTGCGGAGTGAGAAACAGCTGTGTTCTCAAAATGTTCCGGAAAGCAGGCTGTTTATTTCATTTTAGTACTTTCAAAAGTGAAACAGGTGTTGGTTTCTTCTCACTTGCTGTTTCATGACAGTTTATGTAAACCTCTGTTTGCCCTCTTTTCTTCTTCTGTGACGCGGCGGCGGCGGATAGTGAAGCATCGCTTTGTTAAAGAGAGGCTGACCTTTGACCCAGCGTGCTGTTAAACATCACCGCTTCCTCCCGCTGACAACTCAGGGCCGCTGGTCCATGGCCGCTGGTTGGAGGGCGGTTTCGGCCCCCCCCCCCCCACAAACAAACAACAACTTTTTTTTTTCTCTGCTTCCTCAACCCCCCCCCCCCCCCCCCCCTCGTCGACGGCTGCTCTCAGGTGTCATACAAACACACCCGCCGCCTCGGCCTCTTTCTCACACACTCACACACTTTAAAAACAACACGTTGGGTGCGCGTGTGCGCCTGTCAATTCTCACGCCAACAGAATTGTGGGAACGCAAACAGCGAAGTCACCGACATTCCTGTCCGGCGCGACCAGACGGAAAGACTCTCGCGAAACAACACCTTAGCTGCCCCCCACCCCACCCCACCCCGCGGAATGTTTAGTGCTAGAACGTCGTGAGTCGTCTCGGGGGTCAGGACTCGGGTGGAGCCGTCGGTGCGGCTTCATCTAACCGCTGGCGCGGTTGTGATGTTCCGTCGCATTAGTGGAACGAAGGTGTACAGAGATGCGAGGCCCTACGGGTGGGGCCGGTCCCAGAGTGGGGGAGAAGTTCTACTCTACACTGAGACGGCGCTAACAGAGAGGATCTCCTTTCTGCTTTATATTTGGCTCCTCCTGTTACTCCTCACCACCCCTCACCCCCCCCCTTTGGAGTTTCCCTCGATATGGAACAAAAAGAGAACCATCCAAAGGCCCTTCTTGTAGCTGGCGCGCAGCGTTCGCTGGGAATAATCCCGTGAACTGAAAATAACCGCGCCTGGGAGCTGGCAGGCTGCTGCTCTGTGTGCCGAATGGACGCTATCAGACTTTTAAGCTCCAAATTAAAGAGACAAGTGAGCAGTGAAACCAAAACTGCGTTTTATGGCAAATCTCCGGGGGTAGTTGCTTGGCTTGGTGGTTAGTGGGCACAGAGGCTCCAGGGATAATCAGTGATAATCGGGCAGTTTGTTTACCACTTTGGTTCACGGAAATTTCACATGATCATTGGACAAATTGCCTTGACGATTTGTCAAAATAATCATTTTTGTTGTATATGAAAAGACTTTTTCATATACATCAAGACATTACATTTTAAACTAAACTAATACTTTTTTTCAACATACTTCAAAATACTATATCGTGATATTTAATTGCTTCTTTAGACGTATTATTGCGCAACTTTTAAACATTTGTCTGATATTCTTACATGCTATACTGTCACTGTTTTGTGATTTATTTTTTAACATACAAAAATGTTTAGGACTTTATAATAGGGGGGGTTTTGTACTTGTATTATGAGTTTTTATTTTTTCAACATATTGACATTTTTTCCAAACATTTTTTGTCTTTACATAATTTTTTTTCCACTACGTTTTAACATCATTTTTTTAAACATTTTTTGAAATAATATATTTATTATATAATTTATTTATTTTTTTGAGATTACATATTTTGACTTTTTTCCATGACATACGTCAACCTAAAATTTGACTTTTTAAAATAAATATATTTTTACCTAATATATTTTGAGTTTCTTTCTAAACATTTTTTGACCTAATTTTCTGTTTTTTGTGTGTTTTTTCTTTTGGATTTCATTTCCCAACATTGAATTGCAATCATCCATTTTACTTTTACTTTTGTTCAACTTCGATACACTATTCCTGTGCATCGTCATACTATCTCCTGACTTCACGCGTAGACCTTCAGCTCTCATAACGTTATTGCAGAGACACCATTAAGGTCACCCTCATTTAGTGGAGCATCGTTCTTCCAGGAAGAACCTCAAAGAGTTTCTACTCCCCGACTAATCCAACAGCTGCCTGCTTAGACTCAGCCGCGCTCTTTCCCGAGTGACCACCCTGATAGGACGTGACGCCCCGAGGCTCTCTGGGAAACGTCTGAGGTCAGCTGCGGTATCAAAGCCCCCATCTGACGGGGGTGAGTGGGGGCTGTTCTCAAGTCTCCCCGTCTCCTGTCAGAATAGCTGGAAGGTCTCCGCTCTGACAGCTCGGGGCAGGATGGAGAAACGAGCTCGCCTGCTTGCGCCTGTCATTAATGTGATGCCGTGTGACAGATGCTGGAGAGAGCCTGTTGCTGAGCAAATAAAGACAGGTCAATGTGGGTGGTTGTAGGGGGGGTTGAATAAACGCTAAGCAGAGGTTGGGCCATGGGGCTTTGATGGTTACGATGTATGCGTAACTGTGGCAGCGGCGCTCTTATCTGGAGTGTGACGGAGTGGGCGCGCTCGCCATTCTGGGTTCTGCACATTTGCGAAATTCTCTGCGACAATGAGCTGGTTTCCAGAGGCAGTTTCTGTGCCGACTTGTGACTTGTTAGGATCAATGTCAGCCCCTTTACTGTGTTTTATATTGCGCTTAATGGAAAGCCATCCATCTTCACCTGACATGATCTCCTGGGAGATCTAACTGTCCTCATCACTGAGGGGGGGGGGGCGTTAAACCAGGACTAATCATTTTTCTTCACAGATCAGCGTTAGCTTTTGGGTCCCCCTGCTGTCGTCCACTAGCTGAACTCATGTATAAAGGGCTTTTCAGTCCTCATTCTGCGTGAGTTTCTTGGCGCTGCTTGGCCTGTAACTTTGCACTGCATCGTCGACACCTTCCTAAAAATAGTGCCCACTAATCCTCGAGCCCCCTCTCCCCTCTAGGGGGAAACGCTACACACTACCAGGGCCGCTCCACTCGGCCGCGTCCAGAATCACGGATTTCAAATGAATCTCCGGTTTTCAGCGGACATTCGGATTCTCACACTTGCATCGAACGCAGGAATCCAGAGAAATGGAGCGAAACAAAGACTTTTCTGCAACACGTTGAGCATCACCTCCTCGCTGCAGGGCTGCACCCTCTGGTGGGGTTGATGAATACAGCTTCTCGCAGCAGGTGGCCCACGGCGTGCTGAACCTGTCCGGTCGGCGCAGGATTGTGTCTTTGATTTCAGAGGACTGGCCGGTATTTATTTCCGTACATATTGCATCTTTTCTCACGTTAAAAGGGAAAATGCTTGGCAGCACATTTGGACGATTGAGGGACAGTTTGTATGAATTGTGAGGACAATGCAATGAACCCCGTTTTCCAATTAAAACCACCACCCATCATTATGTTGACGGCTTTAAAACAAAACGAGGTTCTCACCGGAAATCTCCCTCACGTTCATCATCAGTCTCTTCAGGAATGAATCAGATCATAAAGTCTAAAGTTTCATTTTCATGAAAGGTCATTAGTTAAAACAGAGCTCTGAGAGGTTGTGTGTCGCCGGTGCGAGTAATAAACTGCAGTTGCCTTTCTCACGCTGCAGTAAGTCATCTAAAATCACTTACTCTCAACACGACGCCTTAGCGTTGAGGAGGAGAGGAGGGGTAATAAATAGTGTTTGCAGTACGAGGTCTCCCGCTGGCTCACACCGTGCAGAGGAAGGGGCGGCGGTGGAAACGGAATGCACCCCCCCCCCCCCTGCGGGAGGTTGGTAAAAGGAGAGCCGAGCTGAACCGGAGAAGCTGAGCCACCGTTGTGGTGCGTCTCTAAAATGCGCTCGCAACGATCTGCAGGCGCTTCACTAAAGAACCGACACTTCATCGTTTGTGATTTCTTTTCTGCCGTAGTTCATCAAAGACCAAGAGACGAGGAGACAGCGGACTGGACAGCTTGCCTTTAATAAGACTTTGAGACGCTCCCACTGACGTAACGCACATCTGAACAACACACACAATGCACGGCATACACACGCATCGCAGACACACCGCGAGTCCGTGGATTCCCAACGCACAGGAGAGAGAACTTTAACACGCTTCGTCAGCCTTAGCCAGTTGTCAGTGGCGTAAATCCCCGTTTCTCGGGGGGTTTGACCTTAAAATGAGCCGTGGTGTCATTTGTGAAGTTGCACGCTCGTTATTACGACGAGTTGTGCGTGCAATCAATCGTGGGTTGAAATGCGCGCACACATTAAGAAGCTGTTGCAGCCATATTTCTAAATTTGGCTTAAAAAAAAAAAACAACTAATACAGGTAGCTTTATACAAACCAGGATGTATAATAGCCGTCTTTACTCTGCAGAGTAACTTTAACAGACTCCATTTCATTACAACTTTAAACCACAGACCTCCTTCGTCCATCACACAAGGTAATTTACATTATTCACAAATGTACGCAGCCTTTTATATTCATTTTTCAGTTAAATAACTAAAGAACAAAGAAAAAAAAAACACTTCCAGCTGACGGTCACTTTTACTCAGCTGTGCTGTAACGTGCACAGGATGACACTGTTGAGTATTAAGGTGCATGGAATCTATGCCACAAACATCTTTTACAAATGTTAACACTGATGCACCAACTTTTGTCCCCGTTGTCTTTTGCTCTCGAGTCCCCGCTCGTCCTCTCCTGTGGCCCGCTTCGTCCTCGGAGGGACCTAAGTTTGTATTTTTTGGGAAAAGGTCGACGCGGCACACAAAAGCCTCGGTGGGGAAGCTCCGCGGCGAAGGCGACGAGCGCTTCAACGTCGGGACATGTCACAGGACCTCTGTGGGGGGAGGGCACAAGAGCAAAAGGTTAAAGGTCAGCAGCCGCCGGGCATTAATCAACGCGAGGCCCTCGATGGGAGCGAGGAAACGGTCTATAAACCTCTGACCTGTGGACAAAACTAAACGCGGGACACGAGCAATTAACGCAAACTGCCTCCTGTAAGTGACGGCAGGGAAAGTGTCTGTAAAGGGAAATAAAGCCGACATGTGAAAACGGTTTGTGATCGAGCAGACCAAGAACATTCAAATAAAAACATGCCTTAAAATACAATGACGTCCAGGAAGCTGCATTCATTCCAGGTCTTGCACGTTAATAAAACTTTAACTTGGAGTTAAAAGTGTCCCGGTTTACAGGAGTGAAACATGAGAAGGGAGGCCGTTCACACCTGATGAGACTGTTAATTTGAATTAAAAGGTGGAGGAAGTTGGGTGATTTCAGGAAAGATGTCGGTGGGCAGTTTGCTTTACTCAGTATTTGGGCTAACAGGTGAGGATTAAGCTCTGGCTGTGGGGCGCTGCGAGCTGGAAGGGGGTCGGGCGAGGAGTGATTTGCAGTTCAACGGCCCCCGGGCTCTCGTTTCTAGCGGACGGGGGGGGTCTCCTCGTCGCCTCGGCTATTCTAGGAATTCCTTGCTGGCCGCGGGCCCAAGTCGGTGGAGCTGCTGAATGAAAGCTGTCATCGGTTTAAAGATACCCCGTCCCTCTTCACCCTTCACTCCACTACTCCTTCCACGTCTCGTGTCTTTGGGGTGGATACACCGGACAGATGTCCCATGAAGCACAAGTTGAGGCTCCTGCTTGCTCCGGGCCGACGGCACTGACCGAGGGACCTCGTACAGCAGCCTTTACTGGCCAGCTCTTTAGACGGAATGAGTGCATTTGTGTTCTTGGTTACATTAGATCCTCCAACTGAATGTTGGACCGTGAACTTTGACCACCGAATTCTAACCAGAGAGATACAGCGGTTTACGAGAATGAGGTCAGAGCGACCTCAAAAAAATCAGATAAGTTTTTCATCAATAAATAAAAGTCGTCGGATGAATCTGAGCTACTTTAAATAAAGGCAGACTTTTTATAATCTAAAATCTAGTTGGGCCACCTCAGTGCCGATGGATCCTTCACAGAAAGGCGTGCTTTTCCTGTGCACACATACATATGTGCGTGCCCTGTGCACGTACCTGCCACATGCTGCGGCTTCATGGCTCCGGCCTTCTTCACGAACGTTTCCTCGCTTTGGAACGCGAGGATGGGCCCGGGGGCCGCGCTGCTCTCGCGGTGATCCCGACCTCCATTGGTGGCGTTGCCGTGATTTGCCAGATGGATGAGGTCTCCGAAGTGGGCGGCGTCTTCTGCGGCGGGTAAGCCGTTGTGGATCCCGTTGAGGGCTGGAGCCGGCGGGCTGCTGGAGAGGAGGCGCACACGGATAACATGAGAACGTGGTTTTAGTTATGAAGACTCACACAGCGAATGACTCATTCGCTCACGCGAGTCTCTCTAAAAATCGACTCCCAAGGAGCGCCTTCAAATCGTTTTTGGACAAACAATCTCTCCCAGAGCGGCTCCACGGGTTTTCCGCAGTGGCCCGGGCAGGAGGTTTTCTACACCAACATGAGCCTGATGACACAAAAAAAAGAAAGAAGAGGCACTACTTGTACCTTCCTTTGGCGCTCGTCTGTCCATTCTCTTGCTTGTTGACCTCTGGCTTTGGCTGATGATCAGCAGATGCTACAGGAATCAAAGTGATACAGTTATTTAACAAGTACAGTGAACCACACACACACGGCAGCATCACGCACTGCAGTAAGAGGCCGGCGAAAGCAAAACTTAAATAGGCCCCCGCAGACCCCTGAGTCCCCCCGCGACCCGTTATTGCATAAGCAGTAACAGACAATGGCTGGACGTTTTCTAAAGGAAGCAGGCTTTTTTTTCATGAGCTCAGTCTTCTTCGCCAAGTCCCTCAGTTTGGACAACAAGCCAGCGAGGACACATGGGTCCCGTTTTGCTTTAGAAGAACTCAGACAGCAGCTGTGCAGGATGTGAGGAGGAGATCTAACAATCCCTTTGTACAATCGGTTCTGGTGTGAGGCCGACGCAAACGGGAAATGAGGGAAAAAACAAGCAGAATGAAACAGAAAGCGTTTATTCTGACACATGGAGGAGGCAAAAGGAGAAGGTGCATTGACGGGTCAACTAGTCAAATTAAGTTCATCTAAAATGAGTCAGACGCAATCACAAATCTAATCCGCAGCTGATGGATTCTGTTGACTTTGTTTTAAATCCTTTCATTAACAATCCCTGCAGACTGAAGGCTCTCAGTGAGGTATCATGTTCCTGCTGGAGGATGTTCTCGTAACAAGCAGACGGATGTTCTGCTTACCTTTGCTGCTCTCTGCCTCTTTGTCGCTGACGTTTGTGAGGGAGGAGGACTTGGTCTCTTTCTTTAAAAAAAAAACGAGATAATTACAGTCAAGTTCTTATTGTCAAGTCACGTTTCAGTCTGTTGTCTTGGTTAAAACTGAACAGCAGATGTACCTTGTCGCCCGCGTCCGTCTTGCGGGTCCTCTTCATGATCTCGTCCAGACGCTGACAAAAGAAAGTCGGGGGTGAGAGGAAGGAAAATGCCGCAAACATTTGTTGTTATTTTCTATGCATTTTGTGCAGAGAGACACGACATCTGGGCAGATGTGTTTAGAAATTAAAGAAATGAAGACGTTACAAATTGGGTCTAACAAACCTTCTCTAACTGGTTGGTTTAAAAACAAAAAAGGTTTTACATTTTCATAAGGGTGAAGCAATATGGAGACCCAAAATGAGCTCACACACGCACGGCCGTGGCCTCTTTGCTGCAGACCGTCTGCCTCATGTTCACCACCTGTGATCCGTGATCACAAACTCCTCAAAACGTAGGACAGCCGAGTCACAGCGTGTTCCACCCGTTAACTGCGCAATTATTTGGGCAGAGGACATGCCGTTCTTCTGGGATGATTCCAGCACGCAGCCTGGTTTAATACCAGCCGTTATCGCATTAATCAGAGGATGGGGAGGTGGGGGAGAAAGGCTCAGCGACCACACAGATGAGGGGGGCATACATAGATGGACACGCACACACCTATGTGAGAAAGATCTGCAGGTCTCCATTATGATCAGAGTTTATATATAGCTTGGTGCTGGCCGCGGTCTAAGCCCTATTGAATCCTGGCATGCAGACAACCAATCCAGGATAAGCCAAAAACATCATTCATCTCGGTTTCAGGGACTCAACTTTCATGCCGGCTTTTGTCGAGCGGCATACCACAGAAAGACCACGACACACGATCTAGTACCTCCACTGAGGGACACGTCTGATGGGTGACTTTAAAAGCCGGCCCAAAGCAGGCAGGGTGGGGGGGACAGATGTGCGGCCCTACCTTTTTTCTCTCCAGCCTCTCCTGCTCCTCCTTCAGGAAGTGTTTCTCCCTCTCCAGACGTTGCTTCTCCGCCTCCTCCCGGGCTTTAGCCTCAGCTTCCTCCTTCTGAAACACACGGGCCAGAATCCAGCCGGGATTTAAATGCCGGCAGGAAAAAGAAGAAAAAATAGAAACTCAGCCAGAATACCTTTTATGTAACACGGGCGTGGTGGCTTCCTGGAATTATTGTTTACAACCGCAAAAGGAGAACTTTCCTGTACTTTTGAGCCAGAAGTGAATCTATTTTAGACGCCTACAGCATAACGAGGCCCATTCAAAGCGAAATACAATACGCAAGCCTTTAGTTGTACTGGATCGTGTTTAACCGCAAATGCCACCTCTGAAGAAGACCACCAGAGGGCAGCAGAGCATAATCAACCATCTAGACAACGCCAGAGATGACCATATCACACGTCTACAGGACGTTTCTACTAATCAAGCATCCCTGTTATTTTCATCCGCCCCTCCCTGGAAACACCAGACAGCACGTAGTCAATATTGAGCAATGGATATTTGACGAACTGAAAATTATAAGGGGAGCATTCACCAGCTGGCCAGCTTGGATTCATATTTTCCTTTAGAAAGACAAAAACATCCCTCCGACGTAATACTGGAATATGCTTTCGGACCCGCCTGTTACCCAAGAGGTCTGTGTGAGCACCACAAACACAAAAGGTGTTTTTGACTGAGGAGCCGGGCCCCGTCGCCTCGCCGCCTTCCCCCGACGGGACAACGTACCTGCTTCTGCAGGCGCACGTTCTCCTCCTGCTCGGCCGCGGCCCTCTCCTCGGCCTCCCGCTCGTCCCGCAGGCGCTGGGCTTCGTCCCTCCTCCTCTGCTCCTCGGCCATGGAGCGCGCCTCCTCCTCCCTGAGCCGCCGCTCCTCCGCCTCCCTGGCTATTCGCTCCTCTCTCAGGATCCTGAAAGGGATTGTGAGGTTGCGGGTGAGCGGCCACCACTTTGATTCCCCCCCCCCCCCCCCTTTTTTTAAATGTTCGCCTCATTCACCTTTAGTTCCCGCCTGCCGAGTTTGACATTGACGGGAAACCGAACTATTTACGGAGGTGGAAACAATCGGAAGTATGAGTGCCAACAAGAGATCACGCCAATTCCCGAGCTGTAAATAGCGGTTCGCTCGCGTTACGTGCGGCCAAGAGGCCGTCAAACTCTAAACGCTTCCACGCGTCTCAGGCAGTGTGGAGGCAGTTCTTATTAAGTATTGAATGTGATGTGATGAAGCCTTTCTGTCATTTTACTAATCCATTTTGTGTTAGAAATGGGAAATTGCTACATTTAGGTTACGGTTAAGTTGGTTTTGCAGCATATTAAACAACAATAATATAATCAAAATAACTGTCTACAATATTCTCGACAGGGCTGAGTGGTAATAACGAACGTCATAAGGAGAACAGAACCCACACGTGGGGAATAACTGATAGAACCTCACCTCTCCTTCTCCTCCTGCTGGCGGCGCTCCTGCTCGTCCTTCTCTCGCTGCACTCGGGCCTCTCGCCGTCTCTCCGCCAGGATGCGAGCCGCCTCCTCCTGGCTGTTGGTGCCGGCCATGGGCTTGGCTGGCGTGGGCGATGACGCCGGGACGGAAGGAGAGGAACGGGCCGGCTCCGGTGAGGGGGAGGAGGGGGAGGCTGCGGCCGTCGTGCTGGGGGGCCGCGGTGAGGCTGCTGCGACGGTTGAATCGGGAACAAACTCCATGAGGGGGACATCTTTAAAAACGAAATGATCCACAGCGCAACTTTTTCCATCACTCACTCTTTCTCTGTTCGGGCGTCGCGGGCCGACGGTGTTCGTGGGAGACGGGGGAGGAGGTGCGCTGGTCCATCCTTCCAGGGGCCCCGGCTCTTTTTGGTCGTCCTTTAGGGGTTGATGGGCTTCCACGAGCGGATGGAGGCCTGGGGGAGGCGGCGGGGCTGGGGGAGGCGGTTCTGCCCTTCGGCGCAGCTGGCGAGGACGGCCGCTGTCTCGATAAAGGACTGGGGCTGTAAGACGGGAGAATACGGGGGGGAAAACATGGGGCCAATGAGAAGAAGAACGCGGACGTCAGCAAACACTTGAGACGCTGCATCACCGGTCAGCATCCCACACAAACAGGCTGAGCAGCTTAAAATAATCACCTTTTATAGTGCATTTAAACGTGGACCTCTACGACTTTAAGCTGCCAATAACAAATGTTTCCATGATGCAACAATCTGCTCATTCTTTTTTTGCAATAGGAAAAATTCTATTATGATTTCCCAGAATCAAAGCTGTAATCTTCAGAATTGTTTGTACAAAGAGCAGTCCAGTTGGCAACTGAGAGCAACATTAAATGAGGAGGGAGACGGACTTGTTGCCATGCAAAGGGGAAGAGAGGTGATGCCCAGCAGCATTGGTGGTAATAGAGCACAGGCTTTGGTGAATGTGGGAACAGATGGTGTATTTTCATAATTAGAGATCTGGTTGATTAAAATCAGCCACCAGGTTTATGGTAAATGACAATATGACAGGAAGAAAAAGAAATACAGAAGGATAAATAGTTTCACCTGGGATCAGCTCTTTGCCTCATACTGGGTAGCGACTGCCTCTTCTTAAACACCTCTTTACTGATGGCATTCTTCTCCTTTTCGTTCTCCCGTTCCTTGTCTTTCTTTTCCTTCTTGTTTTTATCCATCTGTGTGATAAAAAGATGAAAACGAACGGACACAATTAAATACTTACGGCATAGATTTTTGAATATATTTGTTTTGGTCTCACTGTTTTTTCCCCCAGGTACAGACTGGTGACACAATCAGCTTTTATCTCTGTCATGGCTGCTTGCATGCACTTACCGGCGTGGAGCTCCGTCTGCGTGGCCGCTGGGTGATGTCGGGCGTGCTGGACGTCACTCTCCAGCGGTCGGAGCAGCGGTGGTGGTGGTGGTGGGGCTGGTGTGCGCAGATAGTGAGGGGGCTGGCGGAGGCCGACCGGGGACAGAGAGGAGAGTCTGTGGAGAAAAGGAGGACGTAACGTATTTAAAGCGCGCCTTACGTGCACACGGCAGCGTCGAAGCGCTTCGCCCTTCGACTTACGGCCGTCTTTGCCGTTGGTGAGGACACTGGCGGCACTGCGGCTCCTGGCGAGGAAGGACAGCGTCGGCGTCATCAGCCGGTCGACTATGCTGCTCTCCCACGGACTGAGCGCAGGGCTGCGGGCTGCAGGTGGGGGGGGAGAACACATCTGTTAAAAGGGATGGGTCTTAAATCGCTGTCCTCGATCGAACCACAGCTTTGCTTTCAGCATCTCAAGCTGATTTGAAATGTATCTTCGCAGCGTTACTCCTGAAATGTCTAAAATGCCACCAAAGAGAAATGAAAGTCACGGCTCTTGCAGCAATATGTAAGAAACAAGGGCCCGATCATACAGAATAACAAGACAATAAGACACCAAAGAGATGATCGGAGGAAGAAAACCAGCTCAGTGAGTGTGTCTACTGTAACTACGGGCAGCTGATACGAGGCCGAGTAACAAAGGAGACTTGTCTCGACGGCCAGTCAGTTATTTATGACCACAGCCGTGAGGATACAAGCAGAGCCGAATCAGAGCGGATGTATTTTTTGGGGGTGAAACGTCCTTTTGTGGCCGTAGATGTCGGGGGACGCGGCGTGTTAAAGTGCTCAGGTGGAGAGGAGGAGAAACACAACCTGCTCCGGGCCTTTTTTACAACGCATCATCTCCTGAGAAACGCTGACTCACTCACTGACTTCACATTTCTACGCCCTGAATCTCAAGAACGGCTCACACCCACAGGGTGAAGAAACACACCTCAAAGAAGTACCTTTAATTCAGAAACCGCACCCATCATCAGATCATTAATCAAGACAACATGAGAGACATCCCTTCGTTGAACATGACCACAAAAAGACGTGTGAAATGACCGCCACCACACAATGGACCAACAAAAGGTAAAACAAAAAGACAGCACAACAAAATGTGAACGCCGCGAACAACCCATATTAAAATATAAGCATGCAGAACGAAAACCCGACCCAGATTCTGGAGCGTCGACGAGAAGAACTCAAAGGGTGTTGGGAGACAGAAATGAGTCAGCCGGCAGCCATCGAGCAAAAATCATGAAGAGGAGCACAATGATGAACGGGGTCGGAGGTGCTGGCGTGGCAGAGAGATGGACACAGGAGGAGGAGGGAGGGGGGGGGGGCATTCCAGATGTTGCCTTACTTCTGCTGGGGGAGTTCCAGAGCGTAGCGGACGACTTGGACAGTCGCTTGTTTATAACAGAGTCCACGTGTTTGGGCAGGTTGACCGTTGACACAGAGCATCTGCCTAAGAAGCCGAGAGAGCGCCACACAGATGTTCACACAGGTCACATGGTTCAGAGTCAGAGGGGGAACCTCGGCGGCGTCCGGCGTGAGCAACAGTCCTGTGCAAAGAATGACTTTGCCTGCTGTAGAAGGTCAGTTTCACTATAAGTTTCCTATATGTAAAGTTTCCTTTCTCCCTGCTTCCATTCGTTAAACTATCTCGCTCATTTGGACGTGGAGAGAACCACCCACGTACGTACTCGAAATAAAGTCTTCCCATAAGAACATATCGAGGTAAAAGAGAAGGCAACGTTGCCGTTTTGTGATTCAACATCCCTCTTTCACAACAATGACTCCAAAAAGGCGCGTCAGGGAATGTCAACACTACCAACAAGACCGAACAAGAAGAAATACCCCAAGATACCCATTCAGCAGGGGGACGTAGAGAGGAAACTGAGAAACACACATCCGTGTCATCACTGTGTAAAAGATCCACGAGGAATCCAAGCAGAGTATATACTCCATTTAATACACTGCAGTAAAATCATGTCTGATGACATCATCATCATCATCGGTCAGCCAGCAGGCTTGTGAGGGAGGCAAGCAGGGAGAGCAAGAAGAGATCAATTAAAAAGGTCAATAATTCCCCGACTAGAGCTGGAAGTTGAGAGGTTGGAACAAAAGGGGACGGAAGCATCCGTCAGGCTGCTCCGTCAAAACAGCATTTCTACAGTAGCACGACTTAGAGGGCTCATGTCAGCTCAAGACTTAGAAACACTTGTACATGCCTTTATAACTAGTAGGCTAGACTATTGTAATGGTCTCCTTGCAGGTCTCCCAAAAAAAACTGTCAGGCAGCTCCAGCTTGTTCAGAACGCTGCTGCTAGAGTTCTAACAAAGACCAAAAAATGTGAGCACATTACACCAATTCTTAAATCCTTACATTGGCTCCCAGTATGTCAGAGAATTAAACTCAAAATCCTACTGCTCACATATAAATCACTACATGGTTTAGGGCCAAAGTATATCACTGATATGCTTCCACTACATAAGCCTTCAAGATCACTAAGATCTTCTGACACCAATCTGTTAGTGATTCCCAGAGTAAATACACATCATGGGAAAGCATCATTTAGTTACTACGCAACAAACAGCTGGAATAAACTTCCTGAAGATTTAAGACTTGCCCCAACTGACCACGTTTAAAACAAGACTGAAAACTTTTATGTTCAGCTTCGCCTTCTGCTAAATTTTACCTACATCGCCCTTTTAACCTCTGCCTTTAATTAAACAATTTAAACAAGATTTTAATTTATAATTTTATTTGCTGTTTTTAATTGTCTTTTAATTCCTGCATTTTATTTCACTTTATTGTATGAAATGTTATAATGTGAAGCACTTTGAGTCTGCCTTGTGTATGAAAAGTGCTATACAAATAAAATTGCCTTGCCTTGCCTACAGTGACACTTTAGCCAGTTTTCTGCAACTGATGCAATAAAGAAGCTGGAAGCATTCTGGCTTTGTCAATACTGTCTGGTCATGATCATAATGTCCCTGAAGTGATGTTCAAGAGTTCAAAATAAATAAATCATTCACAGGTCCGTTACAACACTACTGACAAACAATCTGTATCGACGGCACTGATTCCAGCTGGATAACGGCCATCGAATGAGTTCTCAGCCGCTTATTTCACGAGGATGCGTCTCCAGGTCGGAGCGGCGGTCTCACCTTCTTTGCGGCTCGAGTTCTGGCTTAGGGCCCCCGCCCAGGACCAGCGCTGCTGGCGGATCTCTGCCCACGTTTTCTTGGTTGACCTGTGGATGGCTGCCTCGTAGCGTTCCTGCACACGAACCGATAGCAGTTAAATCGACTGTCTGTTGCATCAAAGGCAATAAAAGGAACAGTTGGCCTGAATTCAACCGCCCAGCTTAGTTTCTACATGGAAGGCATAAACATTTCACCTCCGGGTATCAGTGCAACATGAGAGGAACATACTTTATTCTTCTCCAGTTTCTGTTTCTGTCTCTCCTCCAGGGTGGCTCGCCGTTTCTCCGCCTTGACCCGCTGTCCCTCGAGCTTCCTGCGGCGCTCCTCCAGCTGCTGTTCCCTCAGCTGCCGGGCCTTCTCCTCCTTCTCCAGCCACTGGCTCTTTTTAGCAGCTGAGATGGGGCACAGAGCACGGCCGAGCGAGTGAGACTTTTGACAAAGTCCTTTCCCTCGGTTGGAATGGCAGCCATTTGAAAGTGTGTTGAAAAGCAGCTTTTGATCATCAAGGTCCCTCCGCCTAGATCCCCCTTTGTGTTTGGGGAAAATAAACTAAAAAGGACTTGACTTTACATCTGAAGAGACACTAATGGCCCACGTCAGCTTCAATAAACCGCACACTTTGATATGGAAATCGTGTTGATGTCGCTGAGCCTCTCTCTGTGCGCGCACAACTCTACCACTACAAAAGTAAATCCACCATGAAGAACGGGCCTCTGCAGGGACGCCGCCGTAGCGCTCTTAATGCTGCCGGATCACTGCAGAGATGCTGGAGGGTTTAAGGGATTGGAACACTTTGGCTTTTACACCAAGGCGCTGCTCGCCAGCACGGTGCAGCATAGAAGGTATCTGCTGCAGTGCGCATCTCGTCGCAGCAGCGATTTTAGGCAAAGCCACATCTTCACCCCGATGCAGATGGTGGAGTTTATCATTTATCTTGCCTTTTGGTGACATTCAGTCACTCATGCAGATAGCGAGTGATCTGCTCTGTCCTCTGTGATCAGTGCAAACATGAAGCATTGAGACCCGCTGTACCAGTAGATCATCATGAGCAGAGAGCTGCTCCAGCCCACGCGCATCAAGTATTTAGACTACTCCACCAAAATAGGCAGAAGAGGAGCTTCTCTGCTGATACAAGTCGTCCAGAGCTCCACTTTAACAGCCGGCATGGATTTCCTATCGTGGCCCGTCGCAGACCAGTCTTTGTAGTTGATAACGTAAACACAAGCTTTGGCCAGATCTAATCTTCTACTCGAGTCTGACTGGTTATTTAGATCAGACCAGCGCCATCTGGCACGTCCTTGTGATCGCCCAATTAGGCCGAGCCGCGCTACCAAGTGTGTCAAACTCATCTTATTGTCCTCTGTCACGCCACGGACAGCACCAGCAGGATGGCTCAAAAGGTGTCTGTGTCATGTGAGAAAATACACTGTGATAATTGTATATATTATATATATATATATATTAGGGTTTAGTGACTTTGAGGAAACCGCATGAAAGCGAAAGAGAATGCGTTGGACCTGCGCTTATTGAACTTTCAGTCGAGATAAATCTCTTTAAAACCTCCCATTTCTGCAGTAAGATGGGAATCTTACTGCAAACCACATGTCGGCTTGCGGCATGTGGTTCCAACATGTCGTCTCCGAATACAGAAATCGAAAACATTCTGTGGTGTGTGTACAGCTGCTGATATAAGACCGGACATTAGGCCCAGTCTCTTCAGAACCAGTACATTTGTTCATGGTTAATGGATCTATGGTTCTATGCCTCCATGAGGTTTATGAAAGATGATCTCTCTAATTTACATTTCTAGGGCAAAAAAAAAAATCAATCAATGTTTATTAAAATAACTAGTTTAGAGCTGGACAAGATGAGCAAAAGTAAATATTGTCACTCTATTATCTACTTGGATAATAAAAGTACGTCCCATCATGGCCGACTCCTTATGTGCTTCAATGACTCATTATATTTTGGTACGTTATCAGCTTATTGTCCAGCTCTAGTTTAAACTACTGAACTGACAGATATGACAGAATGATTTGAATGGGTCACCATCACCACCATTTACACACAGGTGAGTGGCTTACCTTGCATCAAGCTGAGCTCTTCTGCAGGTGGGTGAGGGGGGGGGGGGGTGAGAGAGAAGACAGAGGCAACTGTCAGACATGCAAAGCAGTGCACAGCCAGCGCGTTTAATTGCCTGATAAGCGGTTAGCTTAGTGGGGTACGCGGCTTCGAAAAGGTCCAGACCCCCTTTTATGCAGAGGCCTAAACTACCCTTTCATCCTCTCGGCGCTGCGTGTGGAAGGTGCACGTGCATGCCATCTGCAGCCAACACAGCTGCAAGTGTAAAACAACCACCCTTTCCACCCCGCCAGCAGGGGGAGCTCTCCTCCCAAGTAGCAGGCTTGTCCTGCCTCGTTTCTTCAACTTACCGAGATATTTGGCCTTTTCCTCTCTCCGCTCCTTGGCAAGCTTCTGCCTCTCCTCTGCTTTAATGATGTCTGGGGGGGGGGGGGGGGGAGGACGGTGGAGGAGGCAAAGAGGGAGAGAATGTGTTACTAAGGTGTCATACATAAGTCCAGTCAATCCACCCCATCAGATTTCACATGATGTCTCACCAAAGCACCCTCCCTCCTGCAAACTGCAATAAATTCAAGGAAACGTGCCACAAGACGATGACAGGAAACCGTCCACAAAGGGCTGTTTGGGGAAAAGATTATCTGTGGAAGTGAATGGAGAAGCTCCAGTGCCATGTGGATACGCGTTTGACTACTACTACTCAAATCAAATACCCCGCATGCCACTTGGACTGTGGCATCGCAACACGCCAACTGCACCCTTTCATGAGCTCGCTCTGCTTCCTGGGGAAGATATTCTCACTCTGACTCCCCAAAAGCACATAAAAAATACGTTATATTATAGAACTGAAGCAATAATTCATCAAGTAGGTAATGAGTAGAAAGATATTATTTTTATAAATAAACGTTCACGCATCTTTTTCAAGCATTACGTGGACAAATTGACCATTTACAGCTTTTGGAAATGTGAATAATGGCTCTGATTTCATTTATTTGGTGGGTTGAAAAACAATCCAAGAGCAAATGAATGCATGCCTTCTCATTATTGAGTACAAGCTTATTCATAATACAAAACTGCAGCCTGGACAACGTCATTCCTGCAGCGTGTCAATAGTCTTGATCTTTCGATAGAGACGTTGCATGAAGGACTATCTCCACAAAGCAGATGCTCATCATCCAACGCAAACGGACCTCGTCCCTCAGCAGTGTCTGACGGCAGGTTGCGTGAATCACAAACACGAAAACAATCTGCCGCGCCGCCTCCTTTAAGAACAACCTCTGACCCACTGTGATATTTATAGGACTATGGCTCATGTGAAGATAAAAAAAAAGCCGGCTCAAAAAGCCCTGCAAGGTGCAATGTTCACGCACTCAAAACGTCAGCTCGCCATTACTCACTTTTAGATTCGGAGTAGAATGAGAGCAAAGGGTCTCCTGTGTAGTGTGACGTGCGACCCGCGTCGTGCACAGATACGAGAAACAAGAAACAACATGTTTACGTGACACGAGCTACGTGAGGAGCCAATCACCACATTCCCAGGTTCTGTGCTCTTGGTCTTTTTTAGACGGGACAACTTAGCAGAAGCAGCGGCCTTTCCCAACTGAACTGCAAGCCTCACTGTTTTATTTGAATAATTAAGCGGCTTCAGAGTACATTTCATCTCCATAAAATCCCTCTAAAAAACAGCGGGAAAGGAATTTGTAATATGAAACAGGAAGCGTGCGTCATTAGAACCAGCAGACTGAGGACTCAACTGCACATTTCTCTAAAATAGACCAGGCTTTGGGAAATAAACATATCATAAACTCTTGATATTACTGACACGGGCTAAGGTCATGACAAGGAATTCAAACTGGAAGTATTGTTATCATTTTGAGAGCTGTTTGGGGGGTTTATCAGTGTCACCTCAGCCAGCGGGAACAAGGTCCGTGACCACAGTGAATGGATTAAGGGGTAAGGAATAAAAAGGGGGGGCGGGGGGGAGAAAAGAGGCTTACACTCCAAAAATCCTCAAGCGTTTTCCCTGGAGGGCCCTGCGCCGATAGCCCGCGGCTGCATGGACCCACGCGCTAATGGCTCGGACTAAACGCCCTCTTTGCCTCTCGGAAACGGGATTCCTCTGCAGGTTGCCTCCCTTTCCTTAAGAGAAAAGTGCCCGCCGGTGATCAATTTGCCCACATTTAACCACAACGTATTCTCTACCGATTTCATCCTGCAACCGAGGCTCTACTGGATTCAGCTTCCCGTCTGAGATGCTGAAGCGTCGGCGAGGCGGCCTGACTTCCGTAGACTGCAGACGCACCTCAATAAGAACGCTGCTTTGTCGTGTTGTTGTGTTAAAAGCTGTCATTTCTACGTACCCTTAGAACTTTTCAACCTGGGGACAGGGGACGCAGGTAGAGCAGGCGATCGGGGAATGACGTCAGATTTTGTGGGCGTTGTCAATCTCCAATCCGAATCTTTCTTATCTGGAGACTCCATTCTCTCGGCGTTCTCCGTCGTCGGGGGGCTACTCTGCCCCTCCGGGTCCGGCCTCGTGGGGTTTGTGTTCAGAGCCGAGAGGGAAGCTGGTTGGAGAGAAAGACGCAGGATCAAAACAAGCACGCGAGGTGAAAGGTCAGACGAGCAAATGGGTGGAACTGAACCAGTCGGCCTTCATTCCTAGTTTAGTGTGGATGATGTGAGCGTCTTCACTCGCTGCATGGGTGGGGAGGAATCCATGATATGCTAGGTTTCCTTTATAAGACATGTCATAATAACCAAACGGAAACGAGATAATGAAACCCGACGGCTTCTTACGGTTATGAAGCAACATCCATCGTCTGCAGAGACGACACCGTTTTCCAAGCGGTCTGATGCTCAAACTCTACGCCTCATATCGTTTTCCACTCTGACTGTAATTCATCGACAGAAGGGCCCGGCTCCCTCGCTGAACAAAACACAGTTAATTGCATTTTGGCATCGTGATTCTATTGAGGTGAATTTAACTGCTTTGGAAAACAGAATGAGAGGGATCATCTTCCCAGAAGCAACAACAACAACAACAAATAAAGAGTCAGACGAAGCCCGTAAGTTATTTTCTCCACGGTGATTTTAAAATGTTCTCCTGATAAGAGAAGAGCCGGGCCGGTTTGTTGGGACAGCAGCTTCACTTACAGCACCGTGACTCACACTTGGCACGCCGCTGAACTTGAATGTCCTGCTCAAATATTGGCTCGGCCCGGCTTTGACAGCCAGACAAAGACCCTCGCGGGAGGGACTCTTGGCTTTGTCCACTCAGCAGCGAACCCCCCTTCGCTCCCTGGGGAACCGTGTTTGAGCACAGTTCCTTCTGCGCAGGGTCTGGAGGTAAATGCTGGGGCACTCAAGACTTTTGAGTCGTGTACAGGTTGGTTTTTAAAACGCGCGTGTACGAATAAGTGTGGCCCACATAACAGACCAACTTCTGAGACGCCAATGCTTCGTAGCACTCGGTGAGGTGTGAGGAGTTCAACGGGAAGACAAGACATTGTGCTCCCCCCCCCCCCGTCGAGGCGCGCCACTATTAAACAAGCATTCCTCGGGCAGCGACGGGCTCCGGCGGAGAGGGGCCGCTGTTGTGGCGGCTTCATAGCAACGGGACGGCGGCCAAAACACTGCAATGACAGCGACGGGGGAGAGGAGGGAGGGGGGAGTGCAGCGACAGTGGCCGAGGTGCAACCATGAAACAAAAAGGAGTCGGAGTTCTGACAGGCACCGTGTTGCCTCACATCCTGAGGAAGTGAGAACCGGAGTCCCTCGGCTGGCCGACGGCACCGTGGGGGCGAACTGAGCCGACAATCACCCTGAACTATACGTCCGTGATGAAGAGAGAGACAGCGTCGGGGACACCGACAGTGAATACCAATGAAAGCTGAAGCCCTCTGGCACGCGAGCTGAGAGAGAGGATTCTGAAGGGTCCAAAACAAGGCCGGATTGATTCAGCACTCTGACTGAAAAGCCCAATGTCGATATCAGGTTTCCAGATGAATATTGTACTATATTTTCAAAAAAGCACCAATAAATATTTAGCGCTTTGCTCAGTAAATGGCAGAAACAGTGACTCAAAATCAGGGCCTGTGTCCCGGGCTGCCGACAGAGAGAGAGGGACAAGTGCATTTGGAACAGGTTCTACACTGTGACCCCTTACAGCAAACAGGGCTTTGAGGAGAACGCTTGAGTAATATTTGCACAGACGGGGCTGAATGCGACGCCAAAATCTGTTCAGCAAACAATGAGCTCAGTGTTTATGACTTCTTTGTAACAGACTAGCAGAAACGGCCTGATGCTAATGGCATATTTAAACAACAAATACGATAGTGGGGGTCGATGTGTGGATCAATTTTAGCATCAGAGTAACTGCCTTGTTGCATATCTACACTGCGCCTTCCCACAGGCACCCTGGAGCCGACTACAGCCAAAGAATAAATCAATGCACACCATCAAACCTCCTGAGACGCAGGAAAAAAATGCTTTAAGTCCTCCTCACAATAGTTGCATCGACAATTCAAACATAATCGTACAAAACAATAGCTTGATGAGGTATTTGGGATATTCAACTATCAAATCGAAAGAAATCATACCCATATCCCAGATAAACTAATCTATTATACTATAATCTGGTGGTAGATCTGAAATCAGTGCCACATCCTCCTAATCTTCAGTCACAGGAGGTTCAGTCATGTTCAGCATGCGGCCCGTGATCACTGAACGTCACGCCGTCACCTTGCACCGCGGCTCAGTTGGCGTGACAGAGTCTCCCGAGGGTGCCACTCGAGCCGCAAGTGTCCAACAAAGACCAAGACCCTCATTCGATTTCCGTGACCTGCGATAGTGACACACTGTATAAGACATGTTAAAGTCTGCAGGAACAGCAGAGAAACCCCTTCCGAAGTGGGCGTATGCTCGCGTGCACAAGCACAGCGTGGGAGCAGAAGGGCAGGTGGAGAATCAGCAGGTAGTAGCTGCAAATGTGCAATTTCAAATGTCGGTTTGTAGAATTGAAATACAAGCTCTGCAAAGTTCGGGCATTGTGCATCTCCTCTCAAAAAGGAGATTTAGTACTTTACAGTTTAGCTGAGGACGTTGTGAGCAAAGAGCCACGTTGGAACTGGGAAGTAATGCTGCCACACAAAATGTGATTAAGCAGAAATCCAATTTCACAGCATATTTTTTTGGTGCTAGTATGTTATAAATATCCTCACTGCTGCCACTGTGCTGCAGGGGTATAAGAAATTCAAATGTAATTATTTTAACAACAACAGAGTATGAATATTTATGCACAAGAAATAAGATTTCCATCAAAAAGCAAATAAAGAAGGTAGAGGGAGAAAAGGACCGGTCCTTGGAAGATCACGTACCCGTGTCATAACGGAAGCACTTTGACCTCCACACAGCTGCCTGGGCTACGGGATCTCATAAAAGACAATAAACCACATGGCTTTTTTTCCCTACCTGTCCATCAACGCAACAGCAGAGCCGTACATCAGGGGAAGAAAGCCGTGCGTCCAACCCAAGACGCCAAAGCACATGACTCACCGTACGGCAGAATCAGCAAACTCTTGTCAGCACATTCGGCTCAGGGAGGATACGCGGTGAAAACAGCAGCATCGATGTGAAACACAAACTTATTGTGAGTCGCTTTGGATAAAAGCGTCAGCTAGATTAATGTAATGAAAACTAGCAGACCTTCCCAGTCAGAACGGACACAGTGCAAATCCAGTGAGCACTGCAGACGTTGCACCAACACAGTGTGCGCTGTAAAAAAGAAGTAGGGCAAGACATGGAATATTTATGAAGGTAAGAGCTTCACTCTTACGCACTTCCTTCTTTGTCTCCGGCCAAACAGAAGAAAGGAGGCGAGGAGTTAAACGCTCTACTAGACCATTGACGGCAACGACCAGAGGAACCAATAATCGGATCAAAAATGATGGGGAACCACGGTGAAGATGCAGCGCATTCGGTTGAAAAATGGAAATCAGGGCAAAGAAACAGTATGGAGGCCCAGAGTGTGAACTCAGGAAAGTGGGAAAAGGGCGGTTACCCCCCCCAAAAAGGAAAGAGGAACTCGTGGGAACACAGACAATGAATCTGAATCTCATTTGGGATGGGCCATGGGACTAATGAACTACCTCATCGCTTACTCCCCCCTAACCAGTCCCCCTCACCCCCCTCTCCCCCCGTGGGGTCCCTCTTATACACACAGGAAGCGCAGTGTAAACAACAAGCACCCACTCCACGCCAGACCAGGCGCGGCGTGTGTGTTTAGAGACCAACGTTTTCATTAGATGTGCTTACAGAGGACTACAACCGAACACGTCCTTAACTAACTAATCCGATCGGCAGTCCAAAACTCAAGGAGGATAAAAGGATATAAAAAGGGAAATTTAAACAACGTATATACTCGCAGTTTATTCTCTCTTGGAACGACTCTTTAATTCAGCCCTAAAAATGAATGAATTGAGAACGGGTCAAAGACATCTGAGGGAGCCGCTCTTCAGGCCACAGCGGATGTGTACTTTATGGAGACAAAAGAGCTTTCGCAGCAGAACTACCAACAAAGTTGAAGAGGCTCCAAAAGGCCGCATACCTTTTCGCCGTGTCAGTCGAGCCAGCGAATAGCGGTTTCCATCCCATCACCTGGGCCGGGCCCAGAACGTCCACGCATGCGCCAAAGCCGCGGCGCTGATGGAAGGAGGCTCTGCTAATCTGACCCAGCGGCAGCCCCCCCCCACCCCCGGGCCCCTGCATCTGCCGCTGCCAGCATCTCACCCCAACATAGGGGGGGATAAGTAACAGAGACAGCCTGACCAAGGGTGGGGGGGCTGAATGTCAAGAACCGGGCAAACTCGAAGCCATTTTCAATGACATCAGGGGAGGAGGAGGGACGGGCGCACAGGCCGCCATTCATAACGGGAAGCAGTCCACCAGCATGCCGGTCAGTTGCTCCTGACAACCTGCTCCACGTCCCTTTTGGGGGTTGGGAAGTGACAGCGTGATCTAATTCCCACTGGTCTCAAGGGGGGGGTGGGGAGGAAGGTCTACTTTCTCGCTGTCGGTTAGACTTAACCGCGTGTAAAACAGATGACTTGTATGGGAATTATATTTAAGAGCAAAGGGAAACCTGTATGTAACTGCTCATACTGGGTGAAACCTAGATAGGGTGCGTGAAAGCAAAGCGTTGTCCGACTGGTCATCAGCGCCACGCCGACGATCTCAGGTACCTCTAATCCCCTCTAGGAATTTCCCTCTCTGCGTCCCTGCAACTGGTGGCGTGTTTTCAAAGGGTTGTGAGTGTGCGTCCTCAGCTTACTGTGCCGTCTTTCCGTATGGTTATTTTCGTAAACACTACTTAAAGCAAAAAATACAATCTGGTGCCTGTTCAACATACAATTACACCCAACGGTTGTCATTAACCGGATTTTGGTCTCCCCACACAAAAAAACCCCAAAACTTCTCTCTTTGGGTTTCATAATCACAGGTAACTATGACGATTCGTGGCGACGTCCAAATGCGTCAACAAGAACATGAAAACATTTCCTAGAAAGCCTTCAAAATGACTCAAGTCCCAATGGATCAAACAATGGCCCAGGAACACATTTGGAACACCTCCAAAGAACGTGGAGGGCGATCAAGCAGTGTCCGCAGTGTAAAATGCGTGCCCTTTAGGTACCAGGCTAATTTTAGCCGATCGGTCTGGTGACCGGAGCTTTTAGACGGCTGGAGGTATTTTCAGACTGGGAGAAGGGAAGAAGGAACAAACGGCATGGTCCAAATCGAGACTTCCCTTCCCTCGTCCTTCCTCCACGGTCCGGGGCGAGAGGGGAGCGGCACAGCCGGCTGACCATACTGGCGAGTTTCTGTCCTCTGGTCTTAATATGTACCTTTTGCATGTCACGGTTTTAACGCATATGTAAAGCACTGCCAATTGCCTTTGTACAGGAAGTGTGTTAAATGAGGTCGTCTTTGCCCCCCCTGTGGTCCTATAATGTACATCTGCATTGCAGCCCTACTGGTTACTGAGTTATGCAAGAAGCCAGTTCGTTTAGCGTGACATGAATATCTTAAAACTACCAACTACCAACTCTGAAGCCAACCAACAACCTATTTCTCAGATTAGCGTTGCTTTTAGCCAGGAGCCAGAACACGCAAACGCTTCGCTGTCTGAACTCTACGCCACAGTGCTGGCAGGACTTCAGTCGACTCAGATGTTTGTGCTTCTGCGTTCTACCACTAAACTCCATAAAATGTGCTGATCTGGGCTTTGAGCATCTTAACATGGAGGAACTGGAAAGCCCCCCCCCCCCTGGTCTCAAACAACAACAAAACCGCCTGAAGCAGTTTAGAGGAATCATAAATTGATCTCCACACCAAAGGAAAGGTTAAGAGCACTTGGTAAAGTATAATGATGCAGTTACTTTAATCCTTTCGGCCATGCACACCTGGGAAAACCCGTTTGATGGGTGAAGCAATCTGTGATTGCAGCCGTGCGACTTAAAAGGATTAATCTTGTGACATTATTTTCCTCCCTCGAATATAGAAATAATTAACCTCACTTGCATAAAATATCACAAAGGCTTCAAACAACCTGCGTCACTCCACCACCGCGTTGCTCACGATTGACCCTGGGCCAAAACAGAGCTGCTATCGGGCTCCATCATTAGACAAGAGGGTCTCAGAGGGCCGATGGGATCCTGCCCACTGCTTATTTACAAAGACACTAGCGCAGCGCTCTCCAAAATGGGACGACCCCCCCCCCCCCCACCCCCGAACACCCACATTACATAACGAGTCCTGCAGATGTGTATAGCTGGATGAACCCGTTCACCGCCGAAACAGGCTTGTCAGCCAAAGCTGGTGGACTCCGCCACATTACATGAGAGACGAGGAGGACACGGTGATGCGGGTCCCTCTGTCCATCCTCCGTGTCACCGTAGCAAGAGCTGATCTTTCTGCTGTTGCTCTGACGAATCCTAAATGACTCATTCCAGAAAGAAAAAAAAAAAACTTCATTCTTCAGTGATCGTTGTCGGCCAAGCTGCCGAACTGGGAAAACAACACACGGAGCAAAAGGCCTGATGTCATCTCTTCTGCCGTGAGTCACGGCATACATGGCGACCGCCTTCTCCCGCCTCTACGGTCCCAGGTGATCTTATTCAGAACAATGGCTCTTTAAAATAGGCACTCCGGGCCGACGGTGAGGATTCCCACCAAACGGGTGGAGCACATCTCTCCTGCTGCTGCTGCTGCTTGATGCAGAGCCAAAACAAGCCGACCTTCCTCCATGTCAGCAGGAAGGAAGTTTTGTGTTTTCACAAGGTGGGGAGGGGGGGGGGGGGTCACATTGTGTGTCCCCCCTCCTATTTCAGAATACAGATTCAAACACGAACAAGAACAGTTGCACATTGGCACGTACCTGGGGTTTGTCCATCTCGTCTCAAACCGAGACGTTTGTCCTTACCGACGGGAGCAGACGTGGCGATGGCCTTAAACTGCACGATCACATACAATGCAGCGACTAAGCCGGATCTTTATCCCGGGCTTCTCCGTAAAAAACCTCCTTGGATTCAGGAGTTGGTTGATGCACCAGAAAGATGCACCTGTGCATAACTGAACAAGTGCGAATATAGAAAACAAAAGTCCCCTGGTAGAGGAGGATATGACGGGAGGGGGGTGTCAAGACCCCCTGCGACTGCATCATGTTAGTGGACAGCTAAACATAACATATGGAGGGTGGGGGGGGTACAAGTCAGATTACCTCATCCACCGCAATGTGTGTTGTTATAACCCTGAACCCTGAGCCGAGGGAATGTCAACATATTCTCCATAAAGCAGGTCATCGTGTGCCGATTAGATGAAGACTACGATCTGGTTTGAGGTGAAGACGTTAAACTGCGCGGCGGTTATCTACCTCCTAAAAAAGGGATTATTAATAATTCATTCGGATTAATTCCTTCATTCTCTTGCGTTAACGGCGTTTAAAAGTGAGCCAGGCAGCGGCTACAAAGTCAACCTCGGCAGGAGCGCGTTTCAGTCCGTTTAAGCTGCACAGGTGATGGACGAGAGGTGCACGCGCCCGCGCTGAGCTTACACTTACGCGTTGATCCCGCCGCGGCGTCCTCCTCCATTTCGGCGGCAATGCGCTCGCGTTCAGTTCTTTTGTTGATTCAAACAGGCGAGTTTCGGCTCTTCCTCTCCGGCAGTGCTCTCATTCCTCGGGTAGAAAGGAGGGGGGGGGGGTTACTGGTTTTGGGGGGGGGGGGGACTCGGAGGAGTCGTACCCGGTGAAGGAATCCCTCCCGAGGGCGACCGGGCGGATCAGAAACGAGGAGCAACCCGCGTCTGGTTGTTCCGGAGAGAAGAAGCAACAGGGGGGGGAAGAAAGGGTTCCGGAGGGAAACCTCGTAAGGAAAAAGGGAGAAGGAGCCGCGAGCGAAGTTTCTCACTCTGCGACCCGCCACAGCTGATGCTGCGCTCGTGCGTACGGTCCGCTCACCGGCCCTAATGGGCCGTACCATTACGAGGAGAGGAGGGGGGGGGGAGCAGCTACATATGCTATTCGTCACTACTTATTATCTAGATATAACAGTTATGGAGTGCATATACACTAACTATGAGCTATAAATGTGCCCATGTTATTACCTTAGTACACTAATACGTATAGAAAAAGTGAGTAGAATCGTGTTTCTCTCTGTTCTGATTGTTTGCTACACCCACAAAACTTCAATGATCCAACGGCCAGTTCACAGGTCACTCAATATACATCTTATTGTCTGCGATGTGTTTTTCATTGGCTGAACTGCATTCAGTGTTCTTTAACTAACTAATCTAATTAAATGCAGTATAAGTAAATATTGAGTTGATATGAAAAACTATTATATTTACTGTTTGCAACAAAATACTCCTCATAAAATAAAACCATTTATATTATCCTGGATAAGTCCCACACTGAATATTACAGCCGCTGACACCAAACAAACTTTTTGAAGCAACGTTTCACCCTGTAAACCCTCCTAAAGCAGGTTTCAAGCTTTGCTTGAAGAAATTGTGGGAAGATGAATTTCCTTTACATAAAAACACAAACCACGAAACATCACCCTAAAATCAGTGAAGTCACTTTGGCGGAGAAGATTTTAAAATGATTACGGGTAACCTCACGAGCACGCCTTTCACAGTTGCGTGTTGAAATGCTTTGAGATTAAGGAAAGCTTTCTCACTGTCAGCAAGACTTAACCACATGTCCGGTTGATGACTTGTATGGGCTTTATATTTTAGTGTAAAGGGACACCTGGATGTTCCTGCCGACGTTAGTAACATCTTAGATAACCCAGTTCAACACATACGATTTACCAAGGATGCTTGTTACATCACAGTTTGGGTGCTGCTGCAGGGTCTTCTCATACACCACCTGTGGTACTCAGAGCATCTGCCAAGGCGGGGGCTGGGCCAGGGGCTGATCGGCACGCTTGAGAGGGGACGCCCCGTCAAAAGGACTCCAATGGGGATCCTTTGTGCAGCTGTTGAGTCATGTTCACCCTTTAACCCCCAAGAGCCACCTGCCACTGCAACTGGAAAGTGGGGGATTGTGAAGGAGGTGGGGGTTGGGTGTGCACGAGTGTGTGGTTGGTAGGTTTTAGCCAAATTGAAGCCAGAAGAGTTTCAAAGTCTGATGGTGTTTGTTATCAGAGGCTTTTTCTTTTTTTAAATGTCCTTGATTAATTCACAACATGACTCAAAGAAAATTTGCACAAAGATGGCAACCCCCCCACCCCCCCTAAAGTCATCAAAGGCTGCTGGTTTTAGTAACTAATTTAATCACAGATAAGAATAGTGCTTTGTTTTACTGGTTAAAGGAGAGCAGGAAGCGTCTTGAGCGCTAACAAGAGATCAGTGGCTTCAAATCGTATCCAGAATATATTTTGTTTTCTTACATGACCTTTGTTCTCAGAAGAGCTTTATGTATCAGTGATGCTTAACGTAATTCCAAAAGAGTGAGTCATAGGCTGCTCATTTACTTCAGGCTGATAAATAATATTAATAACAGAAGAAAATAGATTATGTTGAACAGAGATATGCATATTTTTAGTCCTGGAGTCGATGGAGCTGATGATAAGAGTGCTTAAATGTGGAGAGCATTAACTCTTATTTTCTCTGCAGATGCATGTTTTCAGATCATGTTCTTTAACAAATACAACACAAATACAATGTGAATACGTACAAATTAACCTCTGTGGACTGAAGCCATTCAGAATATTATGGTTAGTGTTGACCTCTGTGGAGAAATTCAAAAACAGATGCACTAATCTCAAAAATTAGATCAGACACACAGTAACATTTATCCACCCTAAATATAAAAATACATGCAACACTTTGAATTTAAAACAAACATATTTCTGAAGAGAATTTCAACATGGTTTATTTATTTTATTTCGCTGCAAACATACTTATCTCACACAATATTGGCTTTTAATTTATAAACCGTGATATTTGAATGGAACACATGTAACATGATTGAGGAGATATGACAAAAAGTTGGGTGGACTTTCTATTGGTATATTTTTCCAAAACAAGGTAACTAACCCTTTTTAATGGCCACGTGACTGTATTAAAAATAAACCATTACTGTTTAACCTTGCACACTAGACCAGGCGCTTGAGTCCCAAGTCCCCTCTACGCTGTGCTGACGCGTCCTCCAGCTAAGCTGGATGCAAATAGCCTCCATCGGCTGCATGTTAGATGTGCTGAAATATTCATATATTATATAGACTTATTACGTAAGTTATGCGGACTGAAACAACACGCGATGAAGTACATCTTAGTGCATTGATCTGTCTCCCTCATTACCTCTAACTCATGGTGAGCTCTGTAGGAATGGGTTAACTCCATTTGAGAAGCACTCACTGCGCACAGGAAGTGGAGCCCCCCCCCCACCTCCTCCCCCTGCATCCATCCCTCATTGATCAAGAAAGGACTTGATTTTTCGGAGCTGCAGCTGCAGTCCCCTCTTAACACACAGAGACTCCCATACACACACTAACACATACAAACAAACAAACAAACACCTCATTAAACCGCCGCTGATAATCACACGGGGAATAAGAGAGTTAACAAAAATAATGACACCTAAGTGGATGCGATTGCATCAGTGATCCCTGAAAACAGGGGGGAGACAACTGCAGAGATAAGGAAGCAGAGGGGAAACAAAAGCTCAAAGGAAAAGGAAAAGGGAGTTTGGATCCAGCAAAAGGCTCTTTGTGACGACGACTGATGCCGCCGAAGACCAGAGAGCCGCCAACAAGGACTCATTTGTGGAAAGACATTCTGGAGAGTGATGCTTATCCTCCATTGTGAGTCCTGTACTCTTTGAGCAGGACCCAAGAACAGGAATGAGGGACAGTCCAACACTATGGACCGCGTGAGAGCGCTGCTGTATCCTGCCAGCAAACGTTGGGATTCATCTTTTCTGAAATCTTTGGCATTACGTTGCAGAATTAAGAGCTCCTCTGGTCGCCGTCCAATGACCCCGGTCACCACCAGCGCCGGCAGTGAGTCCAGAGGTCAGGCGATGTGAAGGACAGGGGTCACCCTCAGTCTGGTAACGGCCAATAGACAGAAGGTAGACGCGGCCTATGTTATATACTGAAGACAAATGGTCAGCGTAGAAGAAGTGCTGGTGAAGCATCCGGTTGTATACAAAGGTACGATAGGTAGAATCTTTATCCTATCTAAGACGTTTAGCAGAGACCGTTTTGCACTTCAAACATGTCGTCCATTTTTTCATGTTTCGGGAACGCAACACCATTAAGGTGTCTGAGCTGGGTCAGAGGTCACCTGCACCTGTAGGGGGGCTTCGGATTCATGTCATTTACGATCGTGTTGTCTTTTCTTTCCCGTAGTTTGACGAATCCCATGTCACACTGGAAAAATGTGCGTTTTAAGAGAGGACGGGAGAGATAGTGTGGGAGCGTTCCTGTTTTCTTTGTGTTCCTCTCTAGGGTGCTGGGGGGAAAAAAGAGCACCGTTCAGGCTGAAACACATTCACTTAGACTGCCTCTCGTTGTGGACCGGGGGGGTGGGGGGGGGGGGGGGGCTTGGACTTGAGCTGGGAGGCCTCCGTGTATTGGAAGTCGTGTAACATTTCAAGAGCCTCGGATTTTCATGCCCGACGACCGAATGTCGAGACTATCAAAGTGAAAAACAATCGGTGGGGCCGAAGCCGTTTTGTACTGCACCTCCAAAAGGCTGGTGGACTCAGCGAGCACGATGTCGCCACACGGACGTCACTCAGGTTCCTTCTCTCTCTCTCTCTCTCTCTCTCTCTCTCTCTCTCTCTCTCTCTCTCTCTCTCTCAAACAGCAGGGCGAGCCGTGACGTAATGGCCTAAAACGTGCTGTCTGTTAGAAGCACGGCCAAAACACGTGGGGTCGGTTCCTCTCTCCGCCCCCCCCCCAGGGCCCCTCTCTATTCTCCTTTTCCTCGTCTCCCTCCCTCACCCCCCCTCCCAGCCCCTCCACCTCCCTTCTGCTCCACCGCACCCTCTGTTAATGAGTCGCTCCATTTCTCTACACCCGACTCCCAGCTCGCTGCCAATCCCGCAACTGCTTCAATAATAGAAGCCCCTCCTGCCCCCCCCCACATCTCCCCCACCCGTGCTTTCGTTTCCATGACAACCCACAATGAGGTGGGAGGGAGACTGGAGTCGGAGGAAAGCAGCAGAGACTGGGAAAACGTGAATGAGAGGGTGGGAGTGCCTTCGCTTGACCCCTGGTTCCGTTTGTATAGAAGGAAAGAGCCGGAGTTTCAGCGCGAAACTACTTACTGAAATTTGCAGTGATTTTCAAAAGAAAAAAGTTGCAAAAAGGCTTTATAGGAGTAACAATGTAAAAAAAAAAAAAAGTGATAAAGGAAGAGTGGCCGAAAAGAAAAATGTAGCGTGGCAAAATCTGCAGGCAAAGTCAGTGGTTATCATCCTCCATCAAGCAGTTATTGAGATATTTACTGGTGGACTCTGACGTTCCTGTTTTAGCCACTAGCATGGCCACGGAAGAAGGAGACAAAGAGAATACAAAGGAAATAAAAATATACAGTACTTTCTACTTTCACAAGATGGGCACAAATTCATCAATTACCTTAGGAACGGTCTCGTTAATGCTAAAAGGTCAAAAGGTCAGTCCTACGCCATAGGAATCATTGACGCGGTGTCACACGGATGGGCGGCCTTGGGAGAGACACAGAGACAACAGAGACAAACAAAGGGGGAAAAGTCTCGAGGTCACGCACATGCTCTTACACACTCGTATGCACACACACACACGAGATTAGTTGTTTTAATTCAACTCCCTGGATTACAGCCAGGATTAATTCTATGGACTGGTGAGGAAACATTTATGTCCTGCTGTAACCGTCATTGCTGTGTGCTCACAGTGTCTTGGCCTATTCTTACACGATTATTTTCCCAAAATGATTTCAAAGAGATAACGTGAGGTTATTGGCTTGATTGCTCGTAAAGAAATCCTGAATCAAAGGTTCCAGCGGGACACAAACAATTACCGGTTGCATAAAACATTCCTTAAGGACGGCTGCTGTATGTAAACAAGTATCTAGTCTCACATTTCAGAGAGGTAGTCCAGGATTACATTATGCTGTTTATTCGCAGGTAGGAATTCCAAAAAGTACGTCGTCCGTGTCGTTACTCGGGAAACATGAGCTCACATGTGCTGCCGCGTGACGGCAGGAAGCAACGGGAAGACTGGACCTGACCTGATCTGCGTGAGCACACGCAGGCATGTGGGGTGCACGTTTACACGGACCTCAGCCGTAGAATCGCAGCATCCAGGCGGTTAGTGAGCTCAACGGCAACCCGCTAGCGACGATCTGATCTTCAGAGCAGGAGTAGAATTCTGACTCAACCCCACTTCTGCATTTTTTATGTATTCGGTCGAGTCAAATTTAGCTTTGCCTGTGCGTGTTGGCCCGAGTTGCGTCCAGCGCGGTGGGGTGGACACGTCCCGCGGGAGCTGGCAAGGAAGAGGGCGAGCGCAGTAATCCCCGAGCTTGTGGGCCTCCCGGTGTGGCGTCCTCAATCCCCCCCCCGAAGGCCCTGCCAAAACCCCCTCGACAGCAGTCCTTATTATTCGCCTATCAGTGGCTTAGCCTCGCCCCCCCAGACAGAACAGAGATAGAGGGATTCACTGCAGACCAGAGGAGGAAGAACAGAGAGACACTAAAGACGAGACAAACCGGGTTCACCAAGAACCCGAGAGTGCCGAACACGACAGCAGCCGCGATATGGCCGTTCGTATCGCTGTTTAAAAGATGGTTCACTTGGTGCTTGAGATGAAATTCTTCCAGATAACAATCATAAAAAGCCGATCCGTGAGCTCCGATGTGCAACGGAGAGACGCGTGGACACGGTTGATCTCACGGTTTTATTTTAATTCGAGAGGAGAAATTAACATTAGACAGGCAGACAGGTATTTTGGAAAAACAAATGTACGAGCGCGTCGCCGTCAGTAAGATTCATTTATTACAGAAAAAACCTTGCAACCTCGTATTTGCTCATTCTGGATTATTGTAGAGGTAAATCATCTTTACTGTGAGTATTTGGGCTAAAAGGGATCCGAGAGGTTTTCCTTGAACTTTATTATGCGGAAGGAATAATAAATATTATAAATCTACTAAGACAGAGAAGGGAGATACTACTCAAACATTTTTGGAAGGTTTTTTTTGAAGGTGGTCTGAACACACTGCAATTGATTTTAATTACTTTGACAGTAGGTAGAGAGAAACTGAGCATATATAACATAAATAATCACTTAATATAATCACTTAACAGACACCCAAAGTCAAACAAGGTCATGTAAAAAGAATATGAACGACAGTTTAGCTCAAAACTGAATTATAATTATATAACTCCAAGTGCCTTGATTATCAGGTCTCTCGGCATGGATTTCATTTAACAAGCCTCTGCTGTGCTGATCACTATAATGTGATAACATCCTTCTGCCCCCACAAAGGACCACTGAGGTCACCACAACTCATCGGGAATTACAGATCACATGTGCACAACTATTGTTCCCCATCTCCAAACGCCCCGATTCTCAGCTTTGCCTCCACGCTTATTTCCTACAGCAACTGAAGCCCAACTTCCGAACTCAATACTTGAGAAAAGTGAGGATGGAACTAAATTATTCAGGAGAAGAATGTCGGACATTCGAAAAGCAAAAACTGCACTGGCACACAGATCCACACACACACACACACACACACACACACACACACACACACACACACAGTCGTTTCTAAGGAGACGTCAACACTGTGAAAACAGATGAGGGAACACGTGTGGAATTTTAAGACCGTTCACCACCTCATCACTTGTTCCAGCCCACATCACGCGCTCTCTTCTACAAGCAAACGTGCAGATAAAAGGCCTCTCTAAGAGATCGAAGGTTTTTGTTTATTCTCTGAAGGGGTTTTGACAGCATTCATAGTAAAAATTAACCTGGTTTTCGCCCAGTACAATAATAATAATAATAACTTAAAGTTTTCTGTAAAACACCGTTAAAAAGAGTCACCAGAAGGCTACATTACACAATCATAGATACACACGGCATATTTATCGGTCTGTTTGTAGATAAATCAGTACCCTAAAGACGTTAAGTCGGTTGTCAGTTGTCTCATTAGCCAAAGCCCTGAGAAAATGTAAAAAAAATAGCATCTGACTTAACATTTTAACTGCACCTAAAACCAGAAGAAATGTTCGATATCTTCTGGGGAAAAATACAAATATCAGTGTCCGACAAGGCAACCGGAACGTATCCCGCTTTTTGTCCCTGCAGAGACGGTCCTCCCGATAATACTGTCCTTTCGCGCACAACACCAGCAGCCGTTAGAGGAGAGTGTCCTCGCTGTCCTCATTGTGTGTCCTCAGCGGGGTCTTCCTACGGGCGCTGATCGCCGCCCAGATTCTGCACAGCATGCCACATCTGAAACAGCCAAAGAAGTCCAAAGTCAAACCTTTTCAACAGCGGCGCCGCCGCCGCCTTTAAGGGCCCGTTTGTTTCTGCACGGGCAGCTGCTGGTGCGGGGCAGCTCACCTTATTCCACAGTACATCAAGTCTTCCCTGGAGGCAACGTACAGGAGACAGTCCAAGGTGAAGTCATGAGCGAGCAACTAGAAAAGCAGGATCGGACGGATTAACAGCGGGTGGATGCACCAACCATGGAGTAAGAAAACGCGGCGCTCTTAAAAGTGAGTTTACCTTATTGATGGTGTTTTGATCTACGGGGAGGGAATTGAGCCAGTCCACCAAAGCCTTGGCTTCTGGTTCGGAGCTGTTCTCTGTGGCCGGTGCACATCCGCCTAATAACGTGCACAGATTACAAACAGTCAGACTGGTTCAAATAACAGACGTGTTCTGCAATCTCGTGGGTTTAACGTTAACACACAAAAACAAAGCAAAAACCGGCACGTGAGCCGTGGCTCGGCGGGGCCGGCCCGCGTCATCACTTCCCAAACTGAAAAGTCAAGTTCGAGCGCGTTAGCCGACGGCTCTCTGACGAGCCAGTCGGGCGGAACTCCAGAGCCTGCAGCCGGGGCGTGGTGCGGATTGACTGGTAAGTGTTAAGAAACACTAAGCAGCATTACCGAGCGTATCCGTAATCCAAAGAGGGCTTGGTCTCTTCATGCGAGAGTCCTCATGCTGCAGCTTGTGCAGTTAAGCTCCCGACAGAACCCGTAATGCTGACTCCTCACCAGCGCGGCAGATTGAGATGTTTAATATAGCAAGATGATTTAGTAGGTTCTTAAAAACCACCAGTCAATTAGTTTATATATATTTATCACAGCATTTTTTGCACTCTGTTCCCTGCAATGTTGTATTCTTGTTTCCAATGACCCATTACCCCATCTACATACATTTGACATGAGGGATTTGTATCAGGTTAAACTATATCGGTGTGGCTAAGAGAGAGAAACATTACCCTCAGTGACTTCAGCTCTCCTCAGTGCATCTATCTGCTCCTGCTTCCTCTGGACAGAGTTCCTCAGCAGCTGCTGATATTCTCTCTCCTTCTCATTCAGCTGACTTAGAAGTCTGCAACACAAACTCTCAGAAGATCAGAAGGCAGCAGAGCAACTCCGAGGTCTACTGCGCCATCGCTGCAGGTGACTTTACGTTAAAGAAAGAGGGCTGCACGCTAACCTGCCCGTCTCGAGCCGCAGCTCCCTCAGTTTCTCGCTGAGGGAGCTGCTGCTGTCTGCGGGCGAGTCGGGTCTTTCCACGTCACACGTGGACGCCGTCTGCTCCGCGTCATCGGGCAAAAACACCCCGTCGGGGACAAGAACCACAGGGGTGTCCGGGTCAGCACACTGCTCCTCAGTATTGCTGTCCTCCGTCTCAAACGAGGACTGCAGCTGGAGTTTCAGCTCTGAGATGTGGGACGGAGGAGGATAGAACAGAAAAATAAGAGGAGTCCCACAGTACGGAACTTTTAGTGGACAAGAAGAAGCTGCACCTGGTAGCAGCACAGTGATAGCGTCCTGCACGGCCTGCCTCAGCAGATTGTCCAGGGCAAACATCCAGTGAGGTTTCACCTGCTCTTGCCTCAACACCTTCTTCACCTGCGTACACACACAGAGAGAGAGAGAGAGTTTGACGAGATCCGGGCTGCACGCAGCCGACGTCTGCCGTCTCCCACTGCGGAATCCGTCTCCGACTTACTGCATCCTGGAAGCTGAAGAGCACGGCCTGCAGGCTGCTGGGCGACACTGCGGCAGAGCGCATGGCGGCCCGGAGCGCCTGGAGGCGGCCGGACAGCTGCTTCCGGTCGGGGGTGTGGATGTTGTCCCGCAGGCAGCTGATGAGCTCCGTGATGTTGTCCGCGGTCAGCGCTGTCCCCCTGTCATGCTTTTGAGAAATAAGTGCACAATAAAACACTGTACTGATTCGAACCTTTCAATCGGCACGATATATAAAAACATAAAAATTGGCTGAGCGTCCTGTACGCGTTATGTATGAAGTCGTGTTGCATATGAAGTCATGTCTTTATACCGGAGGGACGGACTCCAGTATGTTAGAGACGACGAGGCTGATGTAGTCGGTGAGGACTCGGTGCAGCGTGGCTCTCCGCTCACTGTTTTTTCTCAGCATAAAAAGACCCATGTTCTCATCTGCCGAGGCGGGACTGCTCATGTCCGACGGGTCCTCTGGTATTCTGGACAGTAGAGGGCAACAAAGAGACCAATCGCACAAGATCAACGCACACAACAGGGACAATAGAGAATAAATGAAATGAAACAAATCAACTGGAAGGCTACTCAAAGAAATGTAGATACAAAAAAAATATATTAAGAATAATGTGTATATAATAAATAACGCTGCGGAAGACCTATTGAAATTAGAATTAGTATTCTAATTATATATATATATATATATATATAAATCAATATAATTCTATAAATGAATATTATTTATTAATATTATTACTTTCGTCATTATTATTCTGGGCAAACTTTGAGCTTTAAAAGGTTTGCAACGAAATCCGACTTGACTCTTTTGGTGATAGGTGCTTGTCAGTAAACTGCTTTTGACACAGTGGCATTAAAGCCAGCCTACGCCTAAACAGGAAGCAACCTCGTCTGAGAACCAGACTGAAACCGCTGTGTGGTGTTCCGCTGCCGTAAGAAGAGTCTGTACAAGTGGGGGCCGACTAAGAGATCTTGATCTCCTGTTGGGCAACAGCCCGACTCACGACAACAGGCTGCAGGTGCTGGGGGGGCTCCCGGAGTAGTCATCCGCCCCGCGGAGGGGCTGGTGCCTCCTGAGGTCCAGCGAATAGGACAGGTCGATGGAACCCGAGTACGAGTCCGTGTCCTCCACCAGGATGGAGATGGGTACGGACAGGCTGCGCTGGTAGTCCGCTGCGAGACACCCTCCCCACCCCCCGACGAGATCGGTGTTAGGAGCGAGCGAGCGATAAAGTGCGGTGTCGGAAGCGCGCGGGAGCCTCACCGGCAGAGACGTGATCCACGGGCTCCGACTCCTGCGGCGCTTTGGCCCGCTTCCTGTGGGACGGCCGGAGGTAGGGGTCGCTCAGCAGCTCGGCGGAGGAGGCTCGGTCGTCGGGTTCCGGCACAAAGCACTTCATGATGAAGGCCTTCGCCTCGTCCGACATGCACTCCGGAACCTTGGGGTGGATCTTGAACATGCCCACCTCGATGGGATTGGTAAAAAGTAAATTGTTCATTTTTGAAACTTCCCCTCGGGATCGTTTAAAAAAAAAAAAATGTTTTTAAAAAAGAGAAAATATGGATTATTTCTGCATCAGGAGTCTGGAATGATGCTAACTGCTTGGTCATATGAAATGGAGGCAGGTTTTAGGCGCAGTAGTGCTTCAAGTTATAAACCAACCACACGATAGCAATGCTAACACGCTAATGCCCATCTCAGTCACTTTTAGTTGAATGTGTTAGCATGCTGAGAGGTACATTGATCGTTTATCCTCAAGGAGACAAAACTGCGTGTTCCAAATCTACCGGCATCCCATCCGACGGTTTTAAGACATTTCAGATCGGACCAATAAAAGCGGGACATCACGGATTTTCACTTCAAAACACGAGAAATTATGAAAACGCCACAATCCGCGTGCGCTAACTTTTCCTTGGTTACCTTGAACATTGCTGCCTGAGGACTTCCCAGCTCATGGAAGGGCGGTTTGCCTGTTGCCATTTCTATAATAGTGCACCCCAGGGACCAGATGTCGGCCGGCTTCCCGTAACCCCGAGGCCCCTGGTCTATGATCTCCGGGGCCATGTACTGGAGAGTTCCTTTGGAAATGGAAATGTAGAGATTGGTGAACTGTAAATGGATGAAACAATCCGGCCATACATTATCAGTAAATAAATCGACGTACCAGCAAATGTCTCCGTGCAGGGGTTGATCCCTGCTAAGCGCTTCGAGGTTCCAAAGTCAGAGATCTTCAGCACGCCGCTGTACGTGTTGATCAGCACATTGTCCCCCTGCAGCAAAGACACAAAGCACACTGCCGTCTTACACCATGAAGCTCACTATGACGCCGTTTGTCCCCTCCGGGTCCCACTCGCCTTGATGTCCCTGTGGACTATCTGATTGTCGTGAAGGTACTTGAGTCCGTCCAGGATCTGTTTGGTGTAGAAGGTGATGGTGGCCTCGTTGTCCTTCAGGGGACCCCACTTGGAGCGCAGGAGGGAGGACAAACTTCCTTTGAGATTAAGAAAAGTGTAAAATGATGTAAGCAGATTCATTGTTTTTTCAGAATTTGTGTCACACTGTGAAAATATAGTGTGTAAAAAAAAATAAGTCCCGTCCCGGCTTCATGTGGCAACACCGCCACCGCCGTTTGTTGCACGCCGCTGTCTGAAGACGTTTCTTTCTTCAATGAGCCGGATGTTGAAACCACCCGCTTTCTAGCGAATGGCTTCCAGTTACACAATCACAATGTGAAACCACATAAACAACACGAACCAGACGCCCACTTCCCCCACGATTAACAAACAGGCATCGTCCTGCGCCGAGGTCACAGTGACTTGGGAAAGGAGCAGGGATTCGTCACGTCAGCCCTTCCAAGAAGGCCACGAGTGTTTGGGAGCCCATTTTCATTTCAGAGAAAAGTTTCAAAAGAAACGCATTTCATTTGCTGACCTAGTGACCAGTTCGCCAATGTGCAAATATTTGCTTGCGCAACACTGACGTATAAATCCACATCTCTGTGTGATACAAGTGAGAAAAGGAAGGATTTTGGCATGAAGAAGTCCATTTAGTAGTGGACAGTTCCAGCTACACAGAGCAGCGTAGGGTTCAGTATTTAAAGGTTACCTCCAGGTACTTCCTCCATGAAGATCTTGATGAAGCCATTCTGACTGACGGAGCCGAGGTACTGAACAATGTTCCTGTGTTTGAGCCTCTTGTGCAGAGCGATTTCCTCGTGAAGGGGCTGCGAGTACCTGGGAAAGACAAGACGTGTGTCTTACAAGGTCAACGGCACAACATCCTGCAGTTATTGCAGTGTTGGACAAATCAGTTTGATAGCGGTCAGAAAAGTTGAAGATGCAGCATAAATAAAATAAATAAAAGACAAATAATGTTTTGTTCAGTGTATAAATCGGTAGAGGTTTGAACAATCAGGTTTATATGTTGAGCAAATAAAACAAACTTGAAAATAAAATCTGATGTCACATGATGACAGCGGGAGTCTCTCCAGTACGGCTTGATTAATACAACAATAAACCAAAAAAAGTGATTTAAACGTTACATTTCCCCTCCGTTTATCCACACGACATGGAATGAACAGGGTAAACACTCATCATCTCCCGCAGGATTCCCACAGAGGGACCTGCCAGGGAGGGGGGGGGGTCTCTGTGCCAGATCACTCCCCATTAGGGTAACCGTGGTGCGTCCCCCAGTCGGGGGGTGAGTGCGAGTGTTTTCTCATACGTGCGGTCCCTCTCTGGGATTTCCTTGATGGCGATGCGCACGTGGTTGCTCTGGTCCCTCCCAGCGTACACCACCCCGTAGGTCCCTTTGCCCAAGACCACCTTGTCGCCGTTGTCGTTGGTCTCGTAGATGTACTGCGGGGAGAAACCCAAAGAACGCGTGGCGGGTCAGGAGGTGTGAAACGTGAATGTTTAAAGCACACGAAGAGATATTACCCGCGGCGCAACGCGACACGGGAGCGTGACTGTGTTTTCGGGAACGGGGCACCGAGACCGACCTCTGGGATTCCCTCAGCCACAGGGTCCTGGTCCCGGTCGGGCTGCTGAGCCAGCTGAAGCAGGGAGTTCACCAGCTCGCAGAAGCTAGGGACAAAAACAGAGGGAGGAGCTAAATCAGGCACGTGTTATTGGCTAACGCTTCTGGGAAATTTCCGTTAAAATGAAGAGAACGCCACCGACGTCAAGAAGAGCCGGGGAAGAGGTGACCCATTAAAAAGGTATATGATCTACATGCAAACGTCATCCTCACCCTTTACAGTGAAGCTCAGAGGGGAAGCAGAGCTGGAAGTCATCCGAGTTGAAGTGGACGTACAGGAAGCAGCTCCGCTCATCAATCTTTGAGGCACTTTAGAGGGGAAAAAAAAAAAATGCAAATTTAACCTTGCTACGGTTACCGTGTCGAGCTCTGCTGAACATAAAGGACTGTTTACCCATCAACCCGCTCTGCTGAAGGGGGATGGTTGCAATGCGAAAAGGTATCAGCTTTGGGATCGATTGAGTCAGTAAATGCTGATGAGCAAGGCATCAAACACAATCCCAGCTGATCACGTTGTTTGCTTTTGGTTTTTCTGCAGCTCAGCACATTACTGTTTGGTTTTTTTTGGGCTGTTTGCTGAAAGTTACCCGGGCGGCAAATCGGCAGCCAAGGCGAGGCCAAAGTACACGGCAACCTCTGACAGACACGCTCTGTGTTTTGGGTCCTTCCACCGGGCCGCGGGGGGGGGGCGGGAACACACCCAGAGCTCACAGATATTTGAGAGCTGTTGGCGCGTGACGCGCTCCGCTTACCTCACTCCTCGAATTGCAGAGGCCGGGAAAGTCCACTGGTGTAAGCCTTTCTGCAGAATCGAGGGGGAAAGCAAAACGCAGGAGACAGCATGTTGTGTTGAACGCGGCCGAGCGGAGAGGGAGGAAACAAAAAGTAATGAGGTATGAAGTCATATTTTCCCACACGCGGTGAGGCCAGAGATCGCACCCACCCGATAAAAAAAATAATAAAAAATAAAGTAATCGTTATGGGAAAACTTGTTTACCCTTTTATTCTGCATTGGGTGTGTATGGCGGGTGAGGAAATGCACGACACAGTGCTCACAAACCTCTAAGGGCGTGACGTGTTCCAGCTGGACGGTGCGACTTTGGTCCTCCTCGCTCACACACACAATAGCTGGTTGGAGGACTTTGCTGGGCTCCAGAATGAGCACCTGAACGGCAAGAAGTTGACATGTTTGTAATGGGAGTCAAAGTGTTGCGTCCATTGTGATGGATCGTGTCAAAGTCCTCAGTGGGGACTTACTGGGCAGCGGCCTGTGGAGTCAGTGGGTTTACAGGCCTGCAGAAGCAGCTCCATCCAGAAGTCCATGGTGTCCTGTTTAGCGGATTTCACCTCAGGTAGCTTTGCAAACTGCCGGTACAGGATGTAGGTCTCCATGATGGACGCCACGTACCTGAGAGGAACTCGTGACTGATTAATCCTCGTACAAATAATGAGTAAATGAAACCCATATGCTGCAGGATTACTATCTATGAAGAAGTGCCTCACCAGACCGGGGCCTGCAGCCTGTAGAGTTTTTCTGAGGCCGCGGTGACTTTCCGATGCTCGTTGACGAGGATGTTCGCTCCGAGGTAGAAGCCGACGTCCCAGTAGTTCTTCATCTTCTCCAGACTTCCCTTTCTACCCAGCAGGGTGCTCAGAGTCACACCTGAGCACAAACGTACCAGCGACAAGCGATTACAAAACGACAGAAACGTTCCCAAACCAACAGACGTTGTTCAGCACTTTGCAACGAATGCATGAAACATTTACACCGCGGCTTTTTGCATCATAGGAAAACCTAAACATGAACTGTAAGTAACCTAAAGTGATGATGCCATTGATTATTATTTGTCACTAATTCTCTCTGATCAATAAAGCAGAAAGCATTACCGACCGGTTTTGCGCAGCTCGATGGAAGTGTCGAATTCATGTCCAGCGACCATCAGGAGGACCACGTTGTTGATGCCCGAGTGAAGGGTTGGCTCCGTCTCAAAGGCCTTCCCATACCTGTCGGGTAACACAAAAGCACCAGAGAACTGAACACCAGCACCGCAACGCAAAATGCACACTGCAAACACATGCAAACCTGCAGCAATTCTAAAAAAGGGTACGACTGAACAGGACACAGTCGGTAAGAGCAGGTCCCAGGACACACAAGCGGTCGTACCAGTAGCAGGCCTGGTCTCTGCTGCCCTGATCCGTGAAGCCGGAGCTCATGAACATGTCTTTGTAGATGCGTCCACACAGGCAGTAGATGTCCGACACCACATTGACCCCGGACTCCACGATGGGAAGAATGACCTCCAAGGCCTTGGCGCGATCGCCTGACTTGTTTCTCCTGGTGGGACACAACTTGACTTTGTCAGTGGCGAGGAGCTTTAACAAACATCCTTTATATATTGTACAAACAAAGAAGCGTTGTTGACGTGTAGTTTAATGCGTCAAGGGTACCTGTTTAGAGCAAATATGTAGGTAAATTTGATGTTCTGATGTTTTGCTACCAGACACGTGGGCAGGTCGTTCAGCGTCTCCACCAGTTTGATTATAGCGTCGTAGTCCTGGGAAGAGAGGGCGTAGAATTCCAATGCGTTATTTATATCTAAGAGTTTCACTTTGGGACAGTTGTGTGTGTGTGTGTGACATCGTGGCATGAGCATGAAAATAAAAGCACAGCAACATTCATCTTCTATCTAAACCCACATGGAATACAATCTGATCCGGAGTCATTCGGGTCATTTACAGGCTCCCACATCAGTTTGCGAACTCCAGTTTTTTTCTCAATCAAACACTATAAGCAAAAAGACACGCTGGGCTCTGCAACCGATCTCGACCTTTAAAGATGAATGAACAGGAACAAATAGCCGAGCCGGTGCGGCAGGAGAGGGGGGGGGGGGCGTCTGAGGCCTTCGTGTTGACCTCAACCACACACACACGCGCAGTGAAAACAGCGCCGCTTGTAGCCCGTGACCCTTCACAAAGGCGTCCAGTCACACGCACACACACACCTGGATGTCCCTGTAGGACAACAGCAGATTCATGACTATGTCGGGGGTGAGCAGCTCCACGCTGTCCAGTCGTTTCTGGATGCGGCTCAACTCCTCGCTGAGCGCTCGGCCGCTGAAGCGCTCCCGCGCCGTACGGATCTCGTGCCTGATGGACTCCTGGAAGTACTCGCTGTGGGCACAGAGAGGGATCGGAAAACACCCTCACAATCTGAGATGATGACGTTGTTGTTGTTGTTGTGTTTATTTGGCCAACCAGCGTGGTGGTGAATGACGCCCGACCTGGACTGAACTTGCACATTGTTCAGCAGATGCACCATCCTCTCCACCAGCGGGGTCAGCAGGGGCTCCAGCTGGAAGCTGGGCTGCATCAGGTCCTTGATGCCGCTCATCATGATCGTGGCGTCGCAGGCGAACGCTTTGCCCTGAGGCGACACCACGTACGGGATGAACGTGTACGTGCCGCACTGCTCCTGGAGGAAGGGGGACACGCACACCACATGGGGACAAGTACACACAATTGATTACCTCCCGATCTTATATGATCTTTGACCTTTACTCTGTAGATGATAGGAGTACAAATCGTTCTTATCTCGAACTCCTGCATGGATTGCATTGTTTCTTTTGGGGGGTTTTCTCTGCTCTACATAATTGTACATTTACAATCTTTGGATTCTGTGCATCTAATGTCGTCACATCTGGCTTTTGTCATATTTCTACAATTATCAGCTGCTTATTTGAGAGATAAACACGCGGCATAAATTAACCGTGAGCCTCTAACGGCTCCATCATCTCTCTCCCAACAACAACAACAACAACAACTAGTGGATACACTTCTGATCGATAGCTGCGGATCTCGTTACCTTGAGCGCCTGCACGTCACTGTCCTGCTTGTAACAGTAGAGGATGATGTTATTGGTCATGCTGAAACTTTCTCTCACTCCCAGGTGATAGTAAAGGGAAGGCTGGCACAAGGAGTCGCTCATCTCCACCACGGCCACATCTGCGGGAGAGGGGGGGACGGATTTGGGTTAGTTCGCGTAAAATGGATGGATGACGGGTGATCCAAAGGACCCCACTTGCCTGCGTTGTAGAAACTATCCAGAATGTCTGTGGCGCCCAACGATATTCTCTCGAACGAAATAGTTTTGAAAAGCGCGTGCGCGTCGGCGCACGCCTCCTTCAAGCAGTCCACGGTTAAGTTCTCCTCGCCGCGCGGCTCCGACGCGTCCTCGTTCACGATGTAGGCCACGGACACGGCGCGGGTCCGGCTGCGCGGGGAGGTGAGCGGTTTCCCCGCGCCGCTCGGGTCCACGGCCGAGGCGTCCTGCCACAGGCTGCCGGCGGACACGCGCACGGGGTCTTTCCGGCGCTGGTCGTGCAGGCTCATTCTCCGGCGCTCCGTCGTGTACATGCTGCTGCGCGCGTTTCACTCCGCGGGACCTCGCGGGGAGAAGACGGACGGACGGCTGCGCGGGTTGCGCGTTCGCGTAGTTCCCCAGGTGTGTCGACGCCCACGCGCGCGCGTATCCACTGTCATTCCCGTACTCGTCTCCAGTCGACCCGCCCTCCTTCCCTCCTCCCCCATCCTCCTCCCCCCGCCCCCTGAAAGTTCGAGTGAGACTGAAGGGAGACTCTCGCGTGACCTCTGCTGTGGAACATTTTGGAACTAGTTTTTGCCACCTCGCTGTCTCTGTTTTTGAGGTCATTCTGTTGTGTAAGTGTGGAGGCGCCGTTTGTAAAATGTCGCACGTTCTAAAATCCGGCGAAGTTTTGCAATATTCATATGTCACTTTTTCAAACATTTAGAGAAATTCATGTAAGAACGTTTCCAAGGATAATGTTTGGCAGTAACACAAAGTTGTTAAATATAAATGTCAAATGTTAAATCTAAACGTTAAATGTAAATCTAAATGTTAAATATAAATGAGAATGCTAAATGTAGCAAAACTGCGGAGGATTTTAGAACGTGCGACATTTTACAAACGGCGCCCCATAATTAAGTGTGTCTCATGAGAAGTCAAAATTATGAGTCATTATTTCCTAATTTCGACTTCTTTATCTCATAATTGTGACTTTCTATGACTTCTATTTATATTTTTTGTTAGAGAAATGGGCTTCCATGCATTTCAAAATAACTTTTAAATATTCAGACAGAAAGAGGCGGACAGGCCGGCTCAGGCAAAGGAATCGTGTCTTCACTTGTTGCCATGTCTGTTTATTTCATTTACTGCAACCTATAATAAAAAGACTGAAACCGAAACTTAAATATACTGCGTGCTCTGGCTTTTAAGACAATATTTATATAACTTTCTGCAGTCCCTTGCCGTATAAGGAAAGAACAAGTAAAACCAAATTAAACCCAATAGATATGCAGCAAAGTTTTATGAAGACGTGTCCAGTAAATATTCACTGTAAAAACAAAATGCACAAAGCTCTGATGAGGTTTCACAATAAACATCAAGTCCAATGCAAATTCCCACTGTCTTTATTTACAGTACACAAATGCTTTCGTCTTCAGAACAAACAAACAAAAATAAAAATGGGAATACATACAGCGTTGATGGGAAGCACATTACAGCATCAACTATTTTTTCCCGGCACTACCAAAGCAAAAAAAGGCAATATGATTACAGGTTGTGTGTCTGTATTGGTTTACTCTAGACAATAATGCGATTCACATTCCACGTATCGTACGTTGACATTTACAGCTGGGACGTGGACAAAAGATTGGCCTCCTGCTAGACTTTGAACTGAATCCAAAAATATATAATTAACTATTGTATTTAGCGAGTTTTTCATCTGGCACAGAGCACGTTGTGTTGTGAGCACTGTCGGATGTCGGAAGTTTTGAGTCACACAGACGTTACACAATCGACCTGAGAGTAGGGAGTCTTCTTCGAGACAGTTGTGGCAGGTTTAAGCAATCGTTCGGTAATTACAGAGTATACAAACCGGCCGTGTTCTAGTATGAAAGTCCCACATTTACCGGCTCCCTTCCGTTTGATGGAGACGTTTGACCATGTGAAGGAACTCTGGTGACGCAGCTCACGGAAGCCATTCACTCGTCGAGGCCCTCGTCGTCGTCCTCTTCCCCCTCCGCCTTGGCGTCCACCTCGGTTGTATCTGAAAACTCGTGCAGGAGGACGTACTCGCGGCTGCTGAAGCCAAACTTGATGACGTCTTTTTCCTTGAGCTCGTAGTAGCGCTGGCCTTCGATGCGCTGATTGTTCAGGTAGGTGCCGTTGCCAGAACCCAGGTCGATGATGTACGGCCTTACCCTGCGGCCGCTGGTGCCGTCTGCTCGCGTGAACGCCATCAGTCTGCAGAGAAACCGCCAGAAAGTGTTAATAATACCGCAACAAACGTGTAATGCAACAAGGAGTCACAAATTGAAGTAGAAGCTTTCTAAAACACAGCAAAGTAAAACACGAACTGATAATGCCAGTCTTACCGATACTGGAATACGGCGTGTTGCTTGGAGCAGGATGGGTGGTCAATGGGGATGTCGGCGATTTTTCGCTGACGCCCCAACAAATAGGCACTCTGTCTGTGAATGTACATGACGGGAAGGGCCTCGTCGTTCTTGAAAGGGTACAGCCGCCACCTGCGCTTTGGAATGCGAGCCTCGGGGGGCTCGTTGTACTTGATCACCTCCCCCCGGAATGTGTTTGTATCCTCGGTCAGCGCCCCTGAAAGTTTAAAGTTGGGCTTCTCTTTCTCTGCAGGTGGGTCGCCCGCTCCTTCGGGCTCTCCCAGATGCGGTTCTTGGGTTTCTTCCCGGCGCTGGCGGTTTTCCCGCCGCCGCTCGTTGTGCTGCTGCCTGTCGGCATGCTGAGAGGCGAACGCGCCGCCTCCTCCACCGCCGCCGCCTCCTCCACCGCCGCCGCCTCCTCGCTCCCTCGGCCGTTCTCGCCCACTCTCCCGCGGTCTGTCGGATTCCCACCTGCTCCGCCTCTCCTCCGGCTGATCGCCTCGCCGCCGCCGCCGCTCATCGCCGCCAGCCCGGTGCTCCTCCCGCTCCTGTGAGAGTTTGTTTGGGGAAGAGGGAGATTATTGGTCCATTGCAAGCTTGTACATTTGGAGTTGTTTGGAGTCAATACCGTATATTGTAGGAGTCATTAGTGCATGTTGGACATGACTGAGGACGTTATTGTAATTACAATAAGAGCAACAACAAAAATTCTAATTGACACAAACCATTAAAGGTAGGGATGAGACACTAAATTACCATTTGCAGGACGTGGTCACGTGCGTTATATGACAATAGACATTGTTATTCCTGTGTAAAAATGGCTGTATACCGACACACAGCGGTATTCACTGTATGTGTCCAGCAGCAATCTATCATAACGCTTTAAAGAACGGTCTCTTCGGGATGTGGAACCTACTCACCCGCTTTACTTTGCCGTCGGCCCCGCGGTGAGGGGGGGAGCGGCTCCGCCTGGTTCTGGGAGATCTGCTGCCTCGTCTGACGGGAGACGTCTCTCTCCTGCCCGGGGAACGCTCCCTCGGCCGGGCGGGGGACCTGCGCGGAGAACCCAAATAGAGGCAACGAACGTGTTAGTTTGGGTTTGTAGTTGTTGTTTTTTAAAAAGGGCTACGTTTACAGGTTTACAGATATTAGTGAGAAACGACCCACGTAGTAAAAACACGCGGTTAAAACTGAGTCACGTGGTGACCACTGATCCGAGGTAACGCTACCTGCTCGCTCGCCGCCTCGGTGGACTCGAGGCGCCGCTGGATCTCGACCTCGAGCGGCGGGATGTCTGTGGCCTAACGGGGCTCAGTTGCTCCTGCTTTATCTGAACGTTGGGCTCGCGCTCCGGTGACGGCCTCCTCCGGTGTCGCTTCTCTTTGGTCATTCTGATATGTTTAAAACAACCCAACCGCTATTTAACTAAACACGCATCGCCGTGTTAACAAAAACAAAAGCTAACTCGCGATTACAAACTTCGACTGTTGTGCTCAAATTACTCACTTCCGCTTCCGGCGGTGCGCCGAGAGTTTGTGTCAACGGGGACGCGATCAAACTTCCACTTTGGTTCCGTATGAATTAATCTCTTATTCGTGGGATTTTGCTTGAAGTCGGTCTTTTATTTAAATGGATGAACTGACTTTTTAACGAGGAACATTTTAGGCACACTGTGAGACGGGAAAGCCGAGTTAAATTGTATTTGCAAATATAAACCCAGCAAACCATCAGCCATATGTGTTTGTAATCCCGACGGTTATCCATGTATATTATATTATTTATATCAAGTTCCTATAATGAGCAGTGCATTTGAGAACCAAACCGCCGAATCCACCCGGACACATTTAAATGGGGCGCCGAGACGCTGTTGCCGTGACAACTTTTTGTCATATTTATTGAACCTATTTTACTACGCTTCTGATTTTAGTGTACAGCTTGTTTTCATAAGGAATACACAATGGCTAACTGTACACCATTCGAGTGTCTCGTGAAATACGAAAGTCCAGTTTTGGTCGAAAGATCAAACAGAAAATCAACAACGGTGAGTTTAAATAGTAACGGCAAAAATGGAGTAACGTTAACGTTGGATTGATGAATTTGTGGCAAGGAGGAATACATGGAATAAATACAAGCTATAATGTAAAAATAATAATAATTTACTTAAAAATGTCATCCGAATCATTTATACGTATCAACTTTAGTCATTTACAAGACCACAAAAATGTGATAATTAACAGGAAACTATTTGATTATATTCATATAACTAAAAGGAGATCTAAGAATGTAAACTCCGCAGCCAAAATCCGATGACCTCAGGCAGGAACCTAAAGAGATCCTCAACCGCATCCTTCCACCCAGGTAGAGCTCCAACCACCAACACCCTCCAACAAGTACGAAGCGCATTGTTATTTATCTCGGCTCCTGCGTCGCAGGGAATGGATGGAGGGAGATCAGCTGTGGGAGCAGCAGGTGTCTGTCGCACCGAGTACCAGAGAAGACGTTAGTGGGCTGGAGGAACTGCTGGACATGAAGCTGCAGCAGTGGCAGGCCAGAGGAACAGGAATTTGTCCCCTCCGCAGGAAGCTCTTTTCCCAGTGCTTTGGTGATAAGGAGGCCGAGATCGATCGATTCACCGAGTTACACGTGGACGTTGCTAACCCACATCACCGTTAACTCGGATCGCCCGATTCTCCTTCTCTTTGCTTTCTTCCAGATGAGCTGATCAGACAGGTGACCGTCGAATGCACTGAGATGGGTCTGCTGCTCCTGAGGGTCAGAGATGAGATTCAAATGACTCTGGCTGCGTACCGGGCCCTGAGTGACAGCAGCATGGCTTTCGGAATGAGGAAAGCACTGCAGGCGGAGCTGGAGAAGACTGTAAGGACAATCATTTATTTAAAATGAAGTCTGGGTTTATTGTCATCGCGTCGATTTATGGTTTTATCGTCATCTTTTGCTGTTTGTTAGTCTGTCAAAGCACTCCAAGGGTAAATAATGAATAAAATAATATGTCTGAACAACTTAAATACCCTGAGGAGCCCTTATCTCAAATGCTGGCAGCACTTTAGCGTAACTTAGTAAATTTTTCACTCATCCAAAGCCATTGGAATACAGTTATGAACTGTTCTTCACTAAAGTATCCAGCAGGGAGCCCCATTTCCCATTAAATGTAAAATAAAGAATACCGCTTTTCAAATTTGTCTTTGAACATGCTTAGATTTACGACCTGGGGCCAGAAGAACGTGAAGACTTGAGGAAGCAACTGAACCAGCTGACAGCTTACAAGAAACATTTAGAAAAGAGAGAAAACGAAAGGCGACAAGTGGAGGAGAAGATTCACACACAAGAGATTCAGTTCCTGAAGAGAATCAACCAGCAGCTTAAGGTGATGTTTCTTTTTAAAACACTGTTTTAGATGTAGAACCATGAGAGATTTAGAGTTATGTTCACACGCCTTCAGATTTCTGTATTTTTCTTCATTTTCAGGACCAATTGTCAGTGATCATTGAAACAAAGAAGTAACTTTGCCTCCATTTCCCAGAAAGCAACGCGCTTTCCTGTGAATTCTTAATTGGTTTCAGTTGTAATAGATTTCTTAATACTAAAAGATAAAATGTTTGGGAAGCAGCCTAGGACTTGTGTCACAATGTCTACAAAGCTCCATTAGATAATCAGTCCAACATCATATTTTACAACTGTTTATTTAGGCTGAGGCGATCGCTGAACCTCATCTGGAACGCCGGTATTTATTTAATTTGGCGAAAAAATGCCATGAAGTAAATATTTGGATGTGGTGACTTTAGAGGCTGCGTTGTGGTCGCTTATTAAGTTGTGGTTTTCTTTTTAAATCTATGGAAGTTCGTTAACTCTTGTAATCTACAAAAATGTTTAATACATGATTCAAATCTTTCCAATACATTTCTCCTGTGTTCTTCTTCACACACTCTCCATTTCCTAGTACACAATGTTATATTGGTCTTTTGCCTGGTTTCTAAATGAAATCGAATATAAACATGACCAGTTGGAAATTTACGGGTATTTTATTACAGCGTGTAACAAGTACAGTCCCCCAAAACTATACCTTTCTCTTGAACATCAAGAGAGCATCACACCTGTATATGACAAATGAAATGTCATTTAAAAGCCGTCCAAGTGGAAAAGACACGATGCAAAGTCGTCTCCCAGAGAGACGGCGAGGAGGAGGAGGAGGAAGCAGCCAGTGGCCGTTTGATGAAGACCCTTCACACTTAAGTCAGCATTCCACCTTCAGCCAACTCGGCACTTTCACCACCAGCGTGACCTTGTTGGTGTGTGTGTGTGTGTGTAAATAGAGGTGCGGAGTCGTTCGTCTCCACTCTAGTGCTTCGGCCGTTTGGCCTTGCGGCCTTCTGTGGCTGCTGCCGGCGCCTTTCTGTTCTTGTTCTTGTTCTTCACATTATGCGTTTCGTAATAGCGGACTCCAAACTTCTTGGTCCTCGTGGCGCGGTCCGCCGCTCTTCTCTGTGGAGAAAAACAAAAACATGAGCGTCAACTCGACCTCATTCCAGTTCCATGAGCGAGTCAAGTTTATATATACACAAAAATATCTTCCGTTTCCTGTCGCTCTGGGGGTTGGCTGATATAACCACTGCATCTATAGATACAGTACATCTATACCATGCATACCTGTTTAGACGTCTGCCGGGGTTGTTGGGCGGACTCCTCGTCCTCCTCAGCTTTCCTCTTCTTGCTCTTCTGTTGTGCATCTGAGTTCAAGCAGAGAGTGAGGAATGGGAGTCGGCGCCTGGCCGGATCTCAAAAAGGTCAACTTGACCCACCCGACTTGTATTGCTACAGGCAAATACCGCGCAAATCACTATTTATGAATTCTTGTGTCAAACATATTCAATGCCAGTAAGACGGCTTGATTGGGAGCTTTTTGTTTCGTTTCCGAAAGAAATGTACAAAGTCTAAAATAATTCTTTCCCAACATCGAACACCACACCCTTGACTGACCTTTTCTTCTTTCTTCCTTCGCCGCTGCTGCCGCCGCCGCCTGTTTAGTCTTGATGTCCTTGCACGCTTTGTCGGACAGCGCCTTCGGTATCCTGTATGACGCAACAAAGCAGACGGTCAGGATCTGCTGCGACATGGACAGTGGTCGTCTACGCAGCTGCATAGGAAAGTTATGGTCTCATGCCGTCGGGCTTAAAGGCGACCAGCTAACACGCACGGCCGCCGCCGCACGACTTCACGTGACCGGATGAAATAAATCACAGAAATACAAAAACGATATCTGGTGGAGAGCGGACGGACCGGATTGCAGAGAAGCGATTGGATTTGGCCCGGTCCAGGAAGTGCTTGTACTTGGAGATCTTGTTGTCCAGCTCGCGGATCACCTCCCGGGAACTCTTGTTGCTGTTTGCGTTGCCGGCCGGAGCGGCTGATGATGCTGCTTCTTCTTCTTCTTCCCCCACAGGCTCTCCATCAGCTGGCTCCACATCGGCACCGTCTTCCTCGCCACCCTCTTTTCCTTCTTCTACCTCCTCTTCTTCGCAGTCTTCCTCGCCATCAGAGCCAGAGTCCAGGTCCAGGTCGGGCATTTCCACAGGAACCAGGTCTTCCTCATTGAACTCCGGCGCCACGTTGATCTTGCCAAAGTTCTGTTTCACGTTAGACAGAATCTTCGTGACCTGCTCTTTCTGTCTCTGCAGCTGCCGCTCCTTCTCTTGCTCCTCAGAGGAAGCCTCCAGATGGTCTGGCTGCTCCTCCTGCACGTTCTCAACTGCCTCGGCGGGTCCTTGAACTGGCAATTTGTCCTTGTCCTAGAAGAACGACAGAGACAAAACACGGGTTGACAACACGGGACCAGGAGAAAAGGTCGTTCAGCGATGAAACTGAAGGACGTCTTACCACTTGATCCCCCTCAGGCCCCGGGGGTTTCACGAAGAAGGGGATACGCCCTCTCTGCCAATCATTCAGCACCATCTTGGAGACCGTGGAGAGATCTGGCTCACCGCCCTGCAGGAGGCCAACAACACATTGCTCAAGCGAAGGGTTTAAACTAGCAGTCGACACGTTCAAGCGGAAGCCACAACTCATACCTGTAGGTGTGCTCGTATGATTGGCTGTATTTTAAAACGTTTACGAAATACATTCAAACTTGAGGCAGAGCCGTTTAAAAGGAGCCAGAAAACGAAGGAGGAAGATTCAGACCTTTAGAAGTTTCCCGGTGCGGAACGCCAGCTTCTCCAGGAAGTTTTCAGCAGAGTTCCAGGAGGGGATGCGGTAGGTCTTCTGAATGTATTCTGGCTTGGCCCGCTCCAGGACCGCCTCAATGTGCTCCTCAGGGTTCTTGATCTTCTCCACTTGAACCTGTGAGAGGAAGGGAGGGAAATAGACGTGGAGTTTAAGATTTGGGCCGGCAACCTCTCCGTTACGGGGACTACTTCTGGAAACGGTTTCTATTTGCTGTGCAGGTGCACAAATGATTCTCCTCCATTGTATAATTGTAATTGTGTGCACGACACATATCACAGAATGTGAAGAAAAATAAAGACTTACCACTCCTTTCAGGACAATATCGGATTCACTGTCTTCTGAAGGGTAGACGACGCCAGGACAGTCTATGAGGAAGATGCGCCTCATCAAAGTGATGTACTGCCACACCTAATAGGAAGAAAATAATGATATCTAAATGATTGAATCCATTTTTGGTTCATCAGACGTCCTAATGTAACGTCTCACTCTGCGCCCAAGTCCGTCTGTCCTCCGGTCGACTTCTTGTTGCTTTGGCCAAATTTGGACACACAACACATTCAACATTATGAAACCTGTGCGCTGTGTGTGTAGTCGAGGAGTTTCAGGGTGTGGGAATGAAAGACGAGCTGTGAAATAAAGGAGCCTCCAGTTTCCTGTGTTGCTTTCGACAAGAACCTACAGCTTTGACACGCTTTCAATGTTGCTACTAATCCAATGTTTGCATGCCGTTGGCACGGCAGAGAGGACCCTTTGTACCTTTGTTTCTCCAGCGAGGGGGGCCACGTTGCAGACCTTCTTAGACCGCAGCGTGTTGATGACAGAGCTCTTTCCCACATTCGGGTAGCCGATGAAACCCACACTGATCTGCTTTTTGTCCGTGTGGAGCTGTGGGAGGCAGAAAAGAGGAGTCAGGATGTGGCGTTTCCTCAGCAGCCTCAGTTGGTCCTCGAGTCATGGAGGTTATTTAAGACGGTGCTCTTCTGCAATAAACCAAGCGGACTGCTCATCGCTCCAGAGACACGTAGCAAAAGATATCCGTGAACAAGAAAATCACAAAGCCGTGCTATCCTGCTAACTGAATCTCATCTCAGCCGACAACGGCTTTACAAACAAGAACCTAGAGTCTCTCTACATTCATCATCCAATCCACTCGAGAAAAACAGCTCTATCTACGAGCCCTTTACTGTGAAGCTTTTATTCCCCTTATATCACAATAATGATACAATATGTATGAATCAATGAACTTTTAGAAACTTCTAGAATATTAAAATGTAAATAAAATTAAATGTATGAACCATTCCAAGCAACAAACTATGTAACTTTTGGATTGTGCAGAATAATGAGGACATTGGAGAACCAAACTCAAAGCACCAACATCTCGGCTCATATTCGGTTTTCATCAGTAAGTCTATAAATAAGAAATAGAACCCTCATATATCAAAAGGTTCCTTCATTTCAACACATGCGGCCAAAAGCAAACAGTTTTGTTGCAAATAAAAAAAGGATTCCACCAAGTGGGAAATAAGGTGATGAACTGAAAGGTTTTGGTATCTGACTTTCATTGAAGCAGTCACTGGTTCTCTGAACCGGCGGCGTGTGCTTACCTTGCCAAACTGCCGGAGCAGCTGGATGAGGGAGCCCTTCCCAAACGAGTTGGTGAGGCTGGCGTGGAAGGCGAGAGTCGGGTACTCCTGGGATAAAAGAGCCACCCAACGTTTCTGGTCCAAAATTGAGTGGAAACAAAGATTTTATTTTTCATCATACAATGAAGAAACAGAAAAAAAACCCAGAAAGTCCGAAATAGAAAGCAAAAAGATGAACATGTGGTGTATTTCTTACCGTGACCCAGGCGGGGATGAGGTCGCACTTGTTTAGAACAAAGATGAGATGCTTCCAGGATTTCTCCTTTTTCATGTAGTTCTCGATGCTCTTGGAGCGCGTTCCCATGGGATCACGGGCGTCCAGCACTTGGATGATGACATCAGACGAGTCGATCACCTATTAGAAGAAAACCGTCAGGGCGCCCCGTGACGCATGACACGTACCTCCTGTACATCAGCAGAATGCGGTGCAGAGGAGGACACGTTACCTTGTAAAGCTCCCCCCAGATCCTCTTGGACTGACCCTTTTTGAAGATTTCTTCACGTACTTCCACCCTGTCGTAAAAAGCAAATAGAACTGGTGTCAGTGCTTGAAACGGAATTAGTTATTAATGAATTATTCTTGAGTTGTGGTCAATAATGTGTCCTGTGAGGGCCCGACCACCCGGAAGTCGGATCAGTCCATTCTAGAGGTCAGTTGAAGCAGCCAGCAGAGGATCGATAATTCTACATTTTAGAGGGTCTCACCGGACCCCGGTGTCCTCAGTCACCAGGTCTCTGTCCTTGTCTGCATCGTAGGTCAGGGCCGAGGCGGCAGCCTTTTCTATCAGGTCCTTCACGTCCTCCACCACCAGGCTGGGCCTCTTCCTCTGAGACTTGGGCCCAAATGTGGTCTCAAAACCTTCCGTGTCCAGGATGTGCACCTTGGCGTTCTGAAGATGGACAAGCAAAGAAAACGATTAGACTCACAGCTGCGACTGTTTCTTTTGTTTAACCGTAAGCTACATGATAGCGCCGGTGATGTGACGCAGTCGCTCCGGACAGAATCACAGAACCGGTACACACAGTAAGAAGACCTAAATATGATACTACCATACCAAGACATCAAGCGTTCCAACGGTTTTTAACCACACGCCACGCATCTATGGCAACACTGCCATGAGAGGTGGGGACGTAGAGTTTACATGGATGTCAGTTGGACAGACGGTCCAGTGAAAGAGGCTTTCCGCACTGTGTACTCACATGAGCCTTCACTCGATCGTGCAGGAGGGACATGGGGAGTTTGCTTGGTCTCATCACCACACGATACGGATCCTTCTGCACGGCGCCCATCTCGTCTTGGAACTTCTGAAGGGACGACTGCTTGATCACACGGGTGTTTGCTGAAACGCAGAAGATACGAAACGGGCCGTTCAGACGTCCTGTTTCTCTAACAATCCTGTTCAGTCCTGTTTAAACGTAAGACAAATTAAGAGGCCCGGTCTGTCTTGAATATTAGTTCTAAACTCTGTAAATCAAAATAGATGTCATTGTTATTGTAGGCAGGGAGACACGCTACCCGCTGAAAGCCAATGAGAACATGAATAAAAGCTATTGTATCGTATTGCTACCAGAAAGTGCCAATTTGCAGTGGTGCATTTAAGATGATGTTCTTAAATTAGTATATTTCTTAAATGTTGCAAACAAGGTCCGGTCGAAAACAAGTTTGGGCAAGTATTGCCCATGGTATGATTTGCAGCTTCCCCGCCACTGCTACCATCTCAGAGTTATTTATATATATATATATATATTTTCTGTAATAAAATGCACTTACTGAACCACTTGATGTTGGGTTCCACTCGGGCTACAGTCCCTGGAGTCACTGTGGACTGGAACTGGAGGGGTCTGATGACTTTCCCACGGTCATTACTGGGAACAGGACATCAGTGTGAGTAGAAGCACGTATTGCTACATTTGTTGCCTCTTAGAAAATGAACAAGCCACAAGAATAATAAAAAAAAAAAAATCTCCACGATGAAGTACCGTCTCTGCTTCTGTCTGTACATATTCAGGCGTTGGATGGTGGATCGGTCCCTCATGTTGTGTCCTCCAGCCCCCTTAGCTCGATCTGTGAAATACAGCGACAGTTCGTTTAAAAATCCAATAACGCAACACACTTTGCTTTTAAAAGGCACCTCGGCGCAGTGAGGAATGAATAACAGCAGCCGAAGCGTCAACACGACACATGCAGTTCAGGTTAAAGTTGAATATTTAAACGTCAGATTGAAATGGCCTAACGTCAAATTATTACAGCATTAGCTGCGGTAACATCGAGTTGACTCAAACCAAACCGTGTTTTTATTTCAATGCATTTGCACACTTGTTGTCAGAGACTCGCTCGGTGACAACGTCAACCTATAAATGTGTTTTAAAGACAGTACAAGAGACGGCTAGCTGCGATTAGCATTAGCAGTAAACAAACGGTGGTACGTTAGCTCACCGGGGTTGCTGCTGGAGGACGATTTGTTTATCGAGCTCTTCCCCTTGTACAGCGGCTTCACCATTTTCACCGCTCAGTCGGTAAAACCTCACAGGAGAAAAGAGATAAAAGGCAACGCGGCGGTGTCGGAGGGCCGAAGAACAGGACGCTGTTTCTCCCTTCAGCTGTAAAGTGAACACCGTACACGTGCCGTTACGGCGAAGCAGGAAGGACGTCATCGAAAGAGCGACGGCAAGGAGAACCAATCAGAGGACAGTATAGACCGGATGTGCTGCGCTCACCTACGGTGTAAAAAAAGTTATGTGAAATGACTTCATGTAACATTTAAATGAACAATATATTATGTAACCACGCATTCTTTGGGGGGGGTCGTGTCCCGGGTCGTGTCCCCCCCCAATATTGAGAAAATACCAATATGTCCCCCCAAATATAGAGCTGAAAATATGTAACTTCCGTTACATATGGGGGACATTAGTTATATGAGGACGGGTGGGGTCATGTACATATTTGATGGTTTTGTGAATAAAACCGATACCGTTCAAACAAGTAGTTATCTGGAAATGACAATATATCTCATTATTCTCTCCCGACGTGTTTAACATCCTGCGAAGTAAAAGCGCTTCTTCATCAACAGGATCGTCCAGGAAAGGACGCGCCATGCCCGAGAAAACACTCTAGTCTTTAACGTAACAGAAATCTTATTTGTGCATATGTGGAAACTGCGCTAAAACCCGACTGATACAGAGTAACGGACCCCTGATGAAAATTATATTTGATTTCACTCAATGGATTATGAAAGATTTAATGTTTAAAATCGTCTCAAAGAATTACACATTCATATTTTCCTTATTTTTGTCATTACAAACAGTCCTTGAAAAAAAACCCATCAACAGCTAATTGAAGCACACAAAAATAAACACAATTTATCATACAGACATATTTGTCTAATATTGGGGAGGGGGCAGATGACAGAGCTTTTTATAAAATGTCTTCTTGAACATTGTGACATATAAAGATTAAGATTAAACCCTACTTAGGACCCAATATCTAAATGATAATCTATTGATTCATCCATAGAGGCGGCGAGCTCAGTAACATTAAAACACACCTGACACACCATTAAAACACACCACTGAGCTCTTTCAGACTTCCATCTGCAACTCCACAAGTCCCAGAGAGCTCTGGACCCCCCCAGAGTCCAGACCAGCTCAGGTACCCCTCACCTGCTCCACCTGCATCTACATCCACATGAACCAACATCAGCTGTACAGACGGAACTATGTGGTGAGCAGAGAGGAAGGTTCTCCACCAGGAGGAGACTCTCCGTCCTCCAGAGAACACAGAGACACTGAGGAATCAGAACTGGGCCAGAGGAAGAAACCAGGATAAAGAGGTTCAGTGAATGTGGTGCTGAAGGTGTGGAGGTGGATCAGTGTGCCAGAGGAGACCAGTCAGACCAGTTCTACACAGCAGCTGATGCCAGAGGTTAAATCTGTCTGGATGATCAGGATATGAGTGAACCTCCTTCACATAAGTCACCTTCCTGTTGTTGTCAGTCAGTTTGAGTTCTCTGTTTACTGTGATTTTTTAAGTAAAACCTTTTTTCAGTGGCGTAGAGGGCAACATTCCAAGGTCCCAGGATCCTTTGAAATATTGGGACGACCAAAAAAACATACCCAAACTTCTTCCGGCTGTCCCTACAATTTCTGTGCACACCAGCCTCCTCTGTGCCATTTCTTTTGAACAAAAATGTATTTGAAAAATCCTCTCCCTCCCTCAAAGACAAGTGAGCATCCTCACATTCGTATGTAAAAGATAAAGGTATCAAGATATCATTTTAAACTTAAATTAAGATATAAAATACAATAACTTAAATTATATTAGTGTGTATACACTGGGTTATTAAATCAGTGTGTCAGTTGCGGCCATAGACATATGTAAAGGCATCTAGGCTTTATATATAACATCTAGTCAACTAGCTTGCCTGTAATGATTTTTAAGGTCCAACAGGTGTCAGTACTGAGCAACACAGTGATTCATGAGGCCTCCTCTATCCCATCTACCCATCACTAGCTTGAACATATTAAGCAGCATTTTAAACACCATGAAAGTTAATGGAACATCTCCGCGACCATTGGCATCTTTGGACGGAACCGTTGAGTGAACTTGGAGCGTCTTCTCTCTGCTGTTTGTTTGTTCGAATTGGATGAGGACCTCCGAGTCTTCACAGATGCTCTAAATCAGTGACAATGATCAGGTGACAAGCAGCCGGCTTGCTGCTGCTGGTGCACTCTGGGAAGGGTAGTTCTTTGAGACTAAGTCCTGAGATTCAGCTCCACAGTGCCACTTTTGTCTGTCCTGAAGAAGAGGCCAGTATACTCTGGTCCATCTGGTCAAGAACAGATCCGTATGATGTATGATCTTCTCTGACAAAGATTCCGGGTGGAATGCTGGGTTAGGTTTTCATTTGAAAGGTCCAAAGAACAGATTCCCGTAATGGACCTGTAGTTCCTGTCTGAGCATTCTGTCTATTTTATGAATATTGGCTACGACGTCATCAGTAACGTAAATTAAAGGAGCATTTCAACACACTTTTCAGAAGTCAGTAAACATCTTATTAAGGCAAATATGGTTTTTACCATAAGGTGCAGGTTGCTAGACAACGAGAGTGATGGAGAAAAAGCTGACGATGCAAACAAACTTATCTAGCGTAGGACCCGCATTTAAGTTCATGTCCATGTATTTAAATAGCACATTTTTGTTCTTTTTATTGGCCCCCTACAGTTGAGGCGGCCGCCCCTATAAGTTGGTGCGATTGGCGCATGGTGGCTGGAGAAACGGGCTGCGGCAGATACCGTCTTTGACCTCGGGCCTCGGCCCTGTGACCGCGTCTGACGCCGATTGCAGGGCTCTCAAGTGTCACGCATTGAGCGTGACAGTCACTCATTTCGGTCTCTAGTCACGCACTCCCGCCACGCATCCAATTCCTCACGCCAAGAAGCGTCCGCGTCTCCCCCCCGTTGGCCGTATAGCGTCCACCCCCCACCCCCGACAAAATGTCACTCCAAGTTTTCTTGAAAACTTGAGAGCCTGCATTGCTCTACTCTTTCATTCCAGAAGAGGGTGCAGTACATTATCTATTCGGGTGCCCTGTTGAATATCTATGGCCTCATATTCTGACTTTAGACCTTCATTACCCGAGAATGCTGCTATTTGCAGACCCGACGAGAATGAGATCATGAGATATTAAAGGAAAATACCTTTTGCACGAGGAAAGAGGCAAGGTGGAATCGTTTTTCATGATGAGGGACGAGGCAGGGAATATTTTATATATTGAGCTCATGGGTCCAAGTTTCACTAGTTCACCAAAAAATGATTTTATTTATTCAGTTGGATATTCCATTATATGTATTTTTGCCCAATATAAAGATGTAATCCTGGCCTTGTTCTGAACACTTCAGATATACAATCCTATTTTTGTTGTGTTTAAAGTAACCAGTGTCCTCAGTGTAACCTATGACCTTGCTCATGTATACAGACTGTAAAGCCCTCTGATGCAAATTTGTAGTCTGCGCTTTTGGGCTGTACAAAATAAAAATGATTGAATTGAATTGCTCATAAAATGCAACCGTAGTCAAATAAAAAATACAAATATATGTTGAAAATACGGTGATTCCTGTATAATAGTTAACCTGGCTAAGAGGCCGGCCAAAAATACTCCCAGGACAATATGATTTTCATTAAGGAAGAACTTATGCAGGCCTTCGGCTGGACTCTTTGACACCAGGATATACAAAAGACCGAACTTGTCTGGTTGCGATGACGCTGCCTTCACAGTGTGTACGATCCGTTACAGAGGTATGAACCGGCGCCAAGCAGGCAGCTTCGGAGAGACTCGGGTCGGGACGCGACGCACCATCCAGCATCCAGTTTATACAGCGGCGAGACCAAGGAATGTTCTCTGTTCACTTTCATACAGCTGGGATTGGCACTGACTTCATCAGCAACACACTGCAATAAATTATTCATTTTCATATTCACAAAGTACATTTGTAGGTATCCATCTGTAAGCTGGAGTCAGTGAAAAAAAACAAGATGGTTTGGCAAGACGTTGTGTTAAAATGTTCAAATGAAACAGAACTTGCCCGTCAGGGGCCTCTTTGTACCTGATTCACTCACTTGAAGGCCGTCAAAATAGAATAAAGCTGAACTCTCACATTTGGTGCGGTCCAATGCGACACAAGAACTTTACTCATTGGCTTATTTGCATGAAAACCCTTTAGCGAAGCGAGACATTGCCACTCCGAAGACGGACAGTCCACAACATCCGTGACAGATTGACCACAAACTATGGTCGATGCCCTCAGCTGTATGAAGAAAGCAGTCGACTCAAATAAAGCTTACACGCAATTTCTTTATACCACTTTTGTACCACTCAAGCAGCTTTACGCCTCAGCAGCTTCCTTCTCTGTTCTTTGATGCACGTTAGCCAACACACGAAAGCATAAAGTGGTACAATAAAAAAGTTATTTTCCTCACAAAACACAACTAGACGATGTAAAAACTCTCCCGATGGCCCACGACAGCCTGTTTCTGTCCCACTTGCTGGGCAGCACTAGCATCTGATGAAGTTATGGTAGAAGCTCGCATATTGATGCTCAAGGCCCAGATTGTGTCGTAAAGATTTGCTGTTTTTGGCAAAGAAGGTGCGGCTCCAAAATGAATTAAGTGCCGCGAAGTCCACTTCTTGAAATAGTGGCGATGAGATGCTGGGATTCTGTCTATGTGAATACATATTTGTAACAGGGATATCTTTGATCCTCTCTAAACAAAACCGCCAAATGAATCCGTGAGAAAAGGGAACTAATACAAAAAAAAGCAAACTGTGTTAAAATGGGACTCTTAATGGAAAACAGTTTAAATCTAACACATTTTAGAAGAGCACCAAATGTACCCATCATCAATAACTCAATTAAGCTTCTTCCCAACTGCTTGGAAGGGTTATAATATGCTGCGGCATCATAAGCGTTTGTCTCTTTACTTTGTGAGAGATACCAGATGCAGAAGATTTCAAGTACTCAAATCTTTGTGAAATCCGCCGTGCACAGTGAGACGGAAACAAGAAAGATGGGGTTAGTGCGACGGACGCTGCTCCAACGAGTCGCCACAACTCTTCGCGTTTGTGCGTTCGAAACGTAATATAATATCACAGCCCGGGT